GTATATTTATATTAAATGGTACCAAAAAACGGTACAAAGTACTTTGGTAACAATGCGAAGCTCAACAAAAGAAACAATAAAAATTTAATGGGGACAATTAGCCAAATTTTTTTAGAGGATTATTTTTTTTATTGCTTAATTATTATCTAACAAGTGAAGAAAAAAAATTTTTTTAATACTCTGCTGCTTAAATAGTTAATAAATACTTGAATATTATTATTGAATATAATATTCCCTTTTTTTAAACATCAATAGAAAATAATAAACAATATAATATTTATTTAAACAATAAAGAAAAAATTATCTAATACTTTGCAATTAATTCGATAATCATTTACAAATAAAATTGTATTTTTTTTTTATTTATAAAGATTACATTGTTAACTATGTTAATTACTATGTTTACATTACTTATTATATTATTTTTTATTATTTATTATTTTTAATAGACAACAATGACTGATACCATCAATTATCCCCATCTCCAATCATGACCAATATGTTAACTTAATTACTGAAAGATTTTTCTACAAAAGAAATAAAAAATAAAAGATAAGTTATAGATATAGTATTTTATATATTGTTTGCTTGAATATTCATAAAGCAATATTGCTAAATTGTTTGCCTTGGAATATTGTTTCAACGACCTACTTTTTTTCTCTTAAATTAGAGACTATTATAGAGTACAGGAGGTACATATACATTTATATATCCACAATATATATATGTATTCTTCACAATTTTTTTTTTCTCTGTTCTTTTTTGTTTATATATTTGCTTTTATAAATTTTTTCCTCGCTTTTAATGACTACCAAGTTTCTTTGAGGCAGCATATAAGAGATTTCAGATGCAGGCAATTTAGTTGCTACAAACATTTTTGGAAGTTGCAAGAGGAGTTTACGAAAGTTCACGAGTTCTTTGGTTTTAATTAAATACTATTTCATACTACACTAAGTTACATTTTCAACAAGACTTTAATAATGCATAAACTATCAGTGACAACTTATTATTATCATTTATTTCATATCTAATAATTTATTAAATACATCACAATATTATTATTAATTATTATTAAAATTAAAAAAAAAAAATAATTACTTGGTAGTTGAATGATTTATTTAATTGAAATTCTTGGATATGATGACTTTCGATAGATTTAACTGATATAACACTCTAAATAGAAATATACATTGACTAGTAGTACATACAGTCTCTCTCTCTCCATGTCAATAGGTTTATCGTTGGAAGATCGATAAACCGTTAACTACGACATACACACTGACCCCGTAATATACAAACTATGAGAGTAAGTGAGAGAGAAAGAGAGAAAGAGAGAGAGAAAATTAGCGAATGGCAACGAAAATTTCTCGGATTTGCTGTTTAATCACATCAGATTAAGTCAATTACCACTAAATAAATTTTATTTTGCATCCTTTCTTTTTAGTCCCCTTCTCAACGTGTAACATAAGTAGGGACATTTTTATTACTTTATATCAGTTAGTAAGCGCTTTTCTGACAGGAAAAAAAATATCGCTAGACAACAAAAAGTTTTTAATGAGAGGATAATTTTTCTCTATTATTTTTATCATGATAATAATTATTAAAACATCCTTTTTATTCAAACTATTCTTTTTTTTTTTTATTGATTTTTATGGTATTATTAAAAGAGTTCATATTTTATAGTCATAAATCAATAATTCTTTTATTTTAATAAAAGACAAGCAGAATTTACTATTGTAGAATTTTTATAATTCATAAAAAAAAAGGAGTTATTACCTTTTATTTCTAAGCTTTTCGGTGTCAGTCACATTAAAACGACGACGGTTTTTTAGGTGGATTTATTTTTTGCAAGACGTTTAAGTATTTATTAAAGCTTAAAAAATTTTCATCAAAATATTTCTGCTGGAAAGAAAAAAAAAAATATTCCCAATTGTTTTATTAATAATATAATTATGTTAAATGATTTATTGAGATATGTAAAACGGCGTGAATAATTTGTTTTTATTAATTCATTGACAACATAATTAATCAATATTTATTAATATCATTCCAAATATACGCCTTATCATTAATATCAATCTTTTAAATGATTTAATTACCATAAAAATTTATTTAAATACGTACGGATTACAATTAATTAAAATAATAATAATAATAATTATTATTATTATTTCATTCTCAACTTCTTAATGACTTATTTATTATCATGCCCACGCATAAATCGTTGCGTATACGCACATGGAATGTCAAGAACTACAATTGATTGTCGTAAACATTGCAATGATCATTTACAATTAGTGAAAGTACCTCGTATCCAACGTCAACGATAATTAAAAATAATAGTATATTTTAAAATAAAAATAATAAAAATTTTCCGGTATACAAAAAAATGTTGATATAATTAATAAAAAAAATTGGAAATATTTGTAATAAAATATTTTATTCAATCTAACGAAATTTTGATTAAAAAATTTATTTTTATATTTAGTTCAACATTATAATAAATTTGAATATATCCTGGAAAAAAATGTGTATTGTTTGCTATTATATAATTATTTATTTTATTAATCTTCTGATATATTGTATCTAATATGTCATATTTTAAATTAAATTTTTTTTTATTTCAATTACAAATATTCAGTTGTAACTATTCAAATAATCGTGAAATTTTTTTTAAAAAATCGTATTTTATTTCAATAATAAAACTACTAACTTTGGGATGAGGTTGGAATTATTTTTAATTTTTTTTCAATGCAAATGACATTAGATTAATTCTTATTTTTTAAGACACCATGAATTAAAAAAAAAAAGTGATTAACTGTACATCCATTCTAAAATAAGTTTTATGATTATTAATTATTTATTTTTTTTTTTATAGAATAAACCAATACTCAGATAATTGAGCACATTAAAATGTATTTTATTAAATGAATTATTTTAATTAACCATCAGAATTAAATTAATCGAAATGTTACCATGTAAATTGAAAAAAAAAAAAAATCAAAACTTGGATTTTATTAGTTGAAATAATTATTACTTGTTCACAGTAAATGGGTTATCTGAATGTATGACTTGACCATTCACGATGTGATTTAAAAATAGTTTAGGTGTTGTTTCGTACAGCTTTTATATACGTTGGTGCTTCGTGGGTTCGACTAACTCTCACCGTACTTGTCAGACCGGCTTGAAACATTAGAAATGTGTATATAGTTCAGAAAGCGAGAGTTCAAAACAATATTTCAATTGTAAGAAAAAGAGTATGGAAGAAAGAAAACCGGAAAATATGACAGGGAAAATCAAACAAGATAAGAAATATAACTGGAGAAAAATTTATAGACCACATGTATCCAACATGAGAGTCTGTATATTTTCTTGGGTTTTCCACACATTGTTTTTTATTTTTTTTCTCTCTCTTCTCTCTTGTGCAATTGAATTTTTTCAACTCTTTTATTTTTATCTTCTATTTTTGGCACATTTCCGACTTTGATATTTTTTATTCTCTCATATTATCCAACTCGTGATAATTTTAATCATTTTTATGACATGAAAAATAACTGGTAGGAGAGATGAAAAAAATTCTTTTATCATGATTATGATATTGTAAGATATTCCAGCTTTGAAATAATTACCATTTAACGCTTGATCGGTGATTCGCTTTGCCATTCTACCACACCAAGTGTACATGCCCTTCACTTTTATTCTATTCTCAATGTATTTTAATACTCTGTGCAATAAACGGCCGGTCGATGTTCTGGGAATCAATTTATCTACTCGATGAATACACTCGTTGACATTTCCCACAGTTTTCTACGCACGTACCTATCTCAATCCTTATCACCATTTATCTTGCATACGACTAAATGCTAGAGATCTTGGATGCCCAATAATAAATTTCGGTACTCTCAGTACTCATGTACGTCTTTATGTCATATACAACCACCCACGTAAAAGTCCCCAAAACATTCCAGAAAGATAAAATGTCTCTTCATTTAAGATTATTGTATTTTCTCGAAAAAATTGAGAGGATTATTTTTGATTATTATTTTTATAATAAACCCATTATCATTTTTATTTAAAAAAAATTTTTTTTTTTCAAATAATTCGTTGGAAATATTCTGATATTTTGAATCAGCTATTTGCATTTAATTATTAGGGATTTAATTTTATTTTTTAAATGTAATATCAAGAGCTGCAGTATTAACTGGAATAATAAGTAGCACTAGAGGCTTATAAAGTATGATTACTATACTGATTAAATCGATGCATGTTGGAGTGAATGAAAACATTGTGAATTCATTGCTTTATTATTAAATTCAGAAAAAATAGGTCTGAGTGACTGATATAATCACACTTTTAAATTCAGAGTCTTTATAGAGTTTAAGACTTTTATTATAAAATAATAGTCAGTTAATTTCCATTGTTAAAAATAAAAAAACATGACAATTTTATACAGTATAGTGTTTTACATTATTCAATTAAATGATTATTTTTAATATAAACAAAAATATAGTGATTGTTAATAAATAAATAGTGATTAGAAATGATTTAGAATAATTGTTAATAGTTGGAAAAGAAATAAAAACTGTGATTAGATTAAATTTTAAATAATTAATAGTAAAAATGAATTTTGTTGATAATATTATGTAATGATAAATTATAGTGTGCAGTAAATAATGATTAAATGAAAATTGAAAATATAATTACATACTGTAATCTACATTAGAATAATTAGTACATAAATGATGTGTCAATGATCATATTAATGGGATAGTTAATGAAAGAAAATGCTTCTATAAAGCATGAATTTATGTGTCTAAATTATTCCAATATTTATTTTTCTAATTAATAATTATGTTTAGTTAGAGCAGACATTTTCTAATCAATTAATTCTAATTAAAATAATTAATTAGATTACTCTAGATAATTTAAGTCAAATAAATATGAATAATTTTATTTATTTATTTAAATTGATAATATAAAAACTGTTTTCTGTATTTCAGCTTGGGTCCTTGGGCGATTTATGTGTAAGACTGTTTCTTATATCCAAGGAGTATCAGTGGCAGCTTCTGTCTACAGTCTGGTAGCAGTGTCATTGGATAGGTGAGTCGAAAAATCAGATATCACATTCAAAGGTGAATCTCCGTTTAAACGATTTTTCAGCAAAAAATAAATAGGTTAGATGTAAAAAAGAAAGGGTTCCCATTTTTATGGGTATTTCCGTGAAATTGGAAGGCCTGCCTAGACATAGACATGGAGTTAAATGCGACGAAGAATAAAAGTACTTTGGAACCAGCAAACAATCTTCATACGCCGGAAGAATAACTTTCATAGTATTCTCACATTATTGGCAAAAAATTGTCCGAAGGGTATATTTTCGTCGATTGACTTTTTTTAAAGCCATTCCAACGTGTATAAAATCTAATACTCTAGACGGGACAAATTTTTTTAAATTGCCCAAAACGTTTTTGTCATTCATATTATGCCTTTATTGCATCTAGGTGAAATAATACTTTGTTTCTAAAAAATAAGATGACAAAATTTCAAGCAAGCTTTTTTCTAATCCCATCATAGATATTGGATCAATTTAAATAAATTTGATCAACAAATTATGGATTTTATTTATTCAAAATATTTTTACTTAATAAATAATTCATGAATAATAATGATTTCCCTGATATTTATTCCATGTTATGAGTCATAAAGCATGGTAGGTCTTACGTGTCAATAAAAAGCTCATTTGAAAAATTATCATAAACAAAAATGATGATGCTACTGATGATGATGATGATCAAATGAAAAGAATATTATTGTAATTTTTCTAATAAAATTTTCTCCACACATGAAGATCTGATTACACGTATCTGCATGAAAGTTTCATAAAGTGAAAACCACACAGATAATATTTTTTTATTGACATGCGATCTGTTTGGTTGTTTGTTAAGAGTAAATCTAGCACTAGGAATGACTATGGTTATACCTATATCTTATAGCATGCATATAAACTTCCAGAATATGATGCAATATCTATAATATTGCATAAGACAATACATAATAAGTCGTTAAAAATTAGCTTATTTTATGAACTCATTATGTTGAGCTTTAGACCAACATTACCACAGATAATGAAAGATGTATCAAGACAATAGAGAAGATGAAACAATGTTTTTTTTTTTGCTTATATATTTGGCAATATAAAGATTATAATGAAGGGGTTGTTGAATAAACTTGTTGTCTAGCAGCTAAAGCAGAGATTAGAGTGTGTTAGATGATTGTGATTGGTCAAGAGATCTCCCTCTCCATCAAACCAATCGGCTGACTCAACATTTACCTGACCGAGCGTCATTCTTATTGTACCACGTGATAAAATTTAACTATATATTGATGTGATTTTTTTAAAAATCACTTTGTATAAAAGGGACTTAGTGAGGTCTTATTGTCACAGGCTTACTGACTTGCAAACAGTAAACAACAAACCAACCCATCAAGATGTTCAAGCTGGTAAGCATTATTACACATTTTTTATAAATACACTATAAAACAATAACATTTGCTTACAACAATATTATATTTCTTCCACTAACATTTCTTCCATTCACATCACGTACTCTATTTTCCATTTAACTTGTACTCATGTTATTGATTTCGTAATCCAATCACCCTGAGAACCCTACCCTTACCCAACATATATTGATTCCCTTGTCCAGACACGTTCATTATTCACGATTGAATTCCAAGTAAAAAATCGATTTGACAACTCAATTTACTTCCTACATATGCTAAATTTCAATGAATTAACATGATTAAGCTATATTGTCTTGAATAAAATAAAAAATTCCCTTCATTGCCGGTCTTTTATATCACATAAATGATTCTGATTCTTAATAAAAAAAAAAACGTTTCCATTCTTTAACCTTTCAATCGATATCGTTATACGATCATTTGTGCTTTCGCTTTTGCATGAGTCTCTCTTGGTGTAGTGTGTCGAGTGTGGGTCACAAAAATGTTGATGTGAAACAAGCCGAGCGTGTCCATTGTATTAGCTAATAGTTGTATCTATGATATAAGATGTTATTTAATGCCCTGTAAAAGGTTTCATAAATGTTAATATGATAATTAAAACATACACAGATCGTTCTTGCCGCCGTCTTGGCTGTCGCTGCTGCTGCTCCTGGAGGTCTCACCGGAGTTGTTCTTGACCATGGACTTGGCCACATCCATGCTCCTGCTGTGATCTCGCATGCTGCTTCTCATCCCCATGTTGTCCACCAACCCGTTGCCCCCGTTGTTCACCGTGCCCCAATTGTCACCCACACCGTCCTCAACACTCATGCTCATGGTCATGGTGCCTGGCTCGGCGGATGGGCTCTTGGACATTAAGATGGGAATAACATCTTTTAAACCAAGAAAATTTCTTCTCCTTTGATCACGTCAACACTTCATGATTTGAAGTCGACATCATCATCGAAAAACTATGAAAAAAATTTCAAAATCACATTCGGCTTCCATTTTTCACTATTAATGTTTTCATTGTTTTGGTTTGTTAATCATTCATTTTTTATAAGTAATACCCTCTTTTTTTAATTTTCTCTCCTCCCCCTGAATTATTATTACGGAATTTTAATAAAATCAAAATTACCAATCCAATCTTGTTGTCTTATTGCTCTTTCCTTACTTCATCTAACCACTTTTCGAATCATTGGTGATGTTCTAGCAATACCAGTTAAAGAAAATAACTAATAACAAGCAAGACTAGTCCATTCTTGGTCCAACATTAGGCTATGGTTGATAAAACTGGTGCTGATTTAAACTAGGAATGGGTCAGCTGTGCTGCTCTACTAGAGTAATAAACTGGAGATAGAAAACAAGTGACTAGAGTTAGTAAAAATAACGCTGAAAATTTTTTTTTCAACCAAGAACTCTAGTAGGAAAGCATGGCTGGCCATTTCTAAGCCAATATTGAGCTATGGTCGACTAAAACTGGTCCAATATTCAATCATAAATGACCACTCGTACTCTGCTGTTAGCAAATTAACACCCAGGTATTAATTTCTAGTGATCAATATGATTCAAGGCATCATTCTTCATCAAATAATACCATTTCACTTTTCCATTTCCAGAGATCACTTTTAGAACTTCACCAATAAAATATCAATCCACAAATATCACAACTCACCCTTCATTGACCTCACGAAAGAAGAATTAATGTCTTGCCTTGAAATTAGCCTGGTCAGGGCCTAAACATTTTTCAGACTCACCAACTGGGAACTTATCACTGTCTTGATTCCATTTAAACTAGAAATATTTTCTCTTTTTCCCAAATCAATCTTTCTGCTTCGAAAATAGGAGTTTAAGTGTTTCAAGATAAATGTGTTGTGCAGTGATTGCCAAATAAAGTGTTTTAAAATTTAATCAATGTTCAACCAGTTAATTATCATGACAATAATCATAAATAACATATTTATTATCTCATAAATGGTTCAGGTTATATATTGGATTACATGTGGTTCGTTGGAGATTCACAACTGGCATGAATTCACGATTTATTGGTGTGGTACTTTCGTGCCAGAGTTTAGGAGTAAAAAAGAGAAGTTTCAACAAAATTCCAATGGGAATATTTGGTTTAGATAAGTCACTTTTAGTTGGTATATATTTTTTTTCTTTCACTCCTATATTTTTCATTGTCTTAGTTCTTTATGAAGTAGGACAGGTGAAAAACAGCATAACAAGGAGTAACTATTCTATGTACCTACATGTGCTGTCAGCCGATTGCTTAACTCTGACCTATCGTCTACGATCTCTGACGCTTATTCTAATGCATTAATAAATCACATGAAACATTGTGGGCTTAAAAAGTCTTTTAATTAAAATATTCAATACTTAAAAAAAAATATCTAGAAAACAATTTATTTCAAGTTACCTCATAAAAAAGGATTTTCAATAATTTTTTATTAAAAACATAGTGCTTGTTAGACTGGTTTACAGCTGCAAGACAGATGATAGGAATCTGTATCTAAATAAAGTAAAAAAGCAAAAGGTATTTCCTTCAGTAAATCGATGCATCGTATCGTAAAATGTATTGTATCGATGTGATGGTGTAGCAACGACGATACAATTTGATTTCCTTGTACCTGATATTATACTGCAGCTTTTCTTGCTCCTTATTTGTGTGCAAATAAGGAAAACACTTGTATATATCTAATGGATTAAATCCTAAATGGTCGCGTGCTGGTTAATAGAGCATAAAAAATGGACGATTAATTATACTTTAAATAAGTCAATTTATAAAATAAAGTAAAAAAATAAATTGTTAATAACTGGAATATGTATATAATATAAATACTATTCTCTTTATTTGTCGAAGCATAACATATGATTAGAGTCAGTGGCCTGTTGTGAAAGGGTTCAGTTGGTATCATGTTTATACTCAAAGCAGAGAACAAACCGGTCTCTTAATAAAGTCTCGGTCGGCATTCTCTCCTTAGATCATAATTTATTTATGTTAATACATTTATTTATATTCATAAATACTACTAAGCATTTATTAAGTGTTAAGAAATAAATTTAATTGTTGATCAATTATTGTTTTTTTTTATATAAACTCTTGGATATTAACTGCCAATGATAGTGATGGACATTTTTTGATCATCTAGAGTCTTATGAGTGCTAAGGGATGATTTACTCCTTGAAAGACATTTAAAAAATAACTAAACAATTCCAAAACTTTAATTTAATACCAAAAAAAATTTTTTATAGCTCATCTATAGTTTAACTTCAACTATTAATGCTTCTATTTACTATTAAACTATTGAAATATTTATTTTGAATAAATTATTTCCTGATCTAATTTTTCCAATATTTACTACCAAGTGCATATATAGTAGTGTTACTGTTATTGATTTAATTAGATTCATAAATATATGCATTTATTTATTTATAGTAAGCTTTTTTTTTAATCATTGATAATAAACCTGTTTGATTGTAAATAAGGAATGATTTTTTTTTCAAGTAAACACTTAAAAAAAGTAATTAAATATTTTTGGTATTATGGTTGTGGAGTTTATTGTTATGTTTAGGAAGTGATGGAAAATTTTTTTATAATTTAAAAAAAAAAAAATGCTTGCTTCAATGACGATAATTGTGAATAAAAGGAAAAAATTCATACAATAATATTAAATAAGCAATAAAAAAAGTCTATGAGCTTTAAAAAGCTGCTTTTAAATTTATTTGAATATGTCGTGTTTACTTTTATCTTTTATTTTGTAATAAAGAAAGTAAGACCTATTTTATTATTTTTCTCTTAATATAAACAATAAATATCAACTAAAAAATGTCTGAACAAATCCAGATTATTCTACTTGAATAAATTTTTTCTGCTATTAATCCATGAAAAGCCCTATTATATCCTCAAAGACAATGCTAAATTTGTTGAAAAAAAACTAGAAAAAAGGAGTTTAAATAGGAAACTCAATAATTACTAAACTTTATAGCCACTTTATTTTTCATAATTTATAAAAAAAAAAAAAAAATGTTCTAAATTTAACCAACAATTCCTGGGAATATGTATACTATGGCCATTTTTATTTTAGCTAGGTCTATGACTTAGCTATTTTCATGACACACGAAGTGTGACATACATGCAATAGCTAAAGTCTAATATTTTTCGATACTCCATTATTCCAAATAACCAAGTTATTGGTCGTTGACATCGTAATTTGCTTCACGATTTGACACAAATGTCGATCGTGTACGAATTGAATTCAAGCATGAAACGGGGCCATGCATTTTGTATAGTCCTAGAAAAAGTAACAATTCCTACTATAAATAAGGATTAATAGTGTATAGATTTACAACTACTTCTAAAAATATAAAGTCTAAAATAAATGTCTCATTAATTTCAGATTCCTGGCGATATGGTGGCCAATGAAGTGTCAGATAACAAAACGACGTGCACGTATGATAATAGTGATAATTTGGTTCATCGCATTAACAACGACATCACCATGGCTGCTATTTTTTGACCTAATAAAATATGGAGATGACCCGAGCTTAAAATTTTGCGTGGAAAGGTGGCCACGACCTCAAGATGGTACTTTATTTTTCTTGATTGGCAATCTGATGCTTTGCTACGTTTTACCAATGATTCTCATATCCTTGTGCTACATTCTTATCTGGATAAAAGTATGGCGAAGAGACATACCTACGGACACGAAGGACGCCCAAATGGAGAGAATACAGCAAAAGTCAAAAGTCAAAGTAGTCAAGATGTTGGTGGTGGTGGTGATACTTTTTGTTCTTTCATGGTTGCCACTTTACATCATTTTTGCTCGAATTAAACTTGGTGGAGATCAGGCAGAATGGGAGGAAGAGGTACAAATGATTGCTACACCCATTGCCCAATGGCTTGGTTCCAGTAATTCCTGTATTAATCCAATATTATATGCTTTCTTTAACAAGAAATATCGACGTGGTTTCACAGCAATACTTAAAAGTGGTCGTTGCTGTGGTAAACTTCGATATTATGAAACTGTAGCAATCATGTCCTCATCAACAAGTATGAGAAAATCATCATATTATGTTAATAACAATTCGTCCACTCGTCGTACCTATCATGCACCACCTGTTCATCAGGATAACAATGTGTCTTACATTTTTAATCACACAGGAGTGTAAAAATATAATCATGAACAATAATATGTTGGATCTTGTTTATGCTTTCTAGTCATTTTTGCATGGCTATAGGATAATATATCCCTGATGGATTCTGATTCGCTGGTCCGAGATTTTGGATCACCTTTGTGATCGATTGTTACTCGGATTGGATTCAAACAGGTTACTGCTTGCTGTTTTATCCCAATTTTTTTTTTTTATCAGCAGTGTCAAGAACAGATGGAAGAGTTGATTGATTGCATGTAATACTCTTTCAATCTGCTACTTACGTCCAAAGGAAATAAATTCATCTTATCATATTGGACGTGACAATAGTTAACCAACACTACTTTGTCACGATTTTTGCAATGGCATTTTCAAACATATACATACATATATATATATACATACATATATAAATATAATAAGATATTTTACTATTATTACTAATAAAACGATAAAATTAAATAAATAAAACTAAAAACAAAAAAAAAAAAAGATTTTTCACCAAAAATTTTCTGATTCAAATATGGTTGTAGCCATTTTTTGTCCTGACGCAATGTTTTAAAACATTTATTGCGCATAAATAAAAATAATTTACACTATCATATCTGATATAGCTTTTATGCTGAAACAAATACTGAATGAACACTCAGATAACAAAACTTTTCTCGTAATAAAAAACTCATATATTTTCTTACCGGAGTATCCATTTTGCCTGTCTGATCAAGTGCGATTTGATGTTACATAAAAATTGAATAGTTAAAAAAAAAAAAACGAGAGCATAAAAAAAATTATGGAGTAAATTAATTTGTTTTTTTAATTTTTTTTCATAATTCTTCACACATATTGGTGTAGGTGATAAATGTAAGGAAAAGAAAATCCAAAAAATAGAAAAAGTCTAAGAGAATTAAGATAAAAACAGAATTTTTCATTGGTCCGATTTAAATGGAAAACTCGATGACTCACGAATGGGTATCGTATCGCAGCAATACGCTTGAAATGTATTTGTGTGAGCTATAGAGAACATATTTTCTTAATAAATAAACGTTTCTATACAATTTATGGCACAGAATTAATAGAAAGATTTTTCAAAGTGAGAGGTTTTAATGAATATAAATGATTTAATAATTCAATGAATATTTAGTAAAAAAAAAAAAAAAAAACATAACAAAAGAAATAATTTAACAGTGAGGTGGGTACACGAAACGTACTTTATCGGAATCCACTGTGATACAAACTTGATATTTAGTCGAGGACAGAGCAAAGAAAAAAATATTCATAAGTTTATGATAAAATAAAATGTAGGTTGCTAATAATTACAAGATAATAATGAAAAATTTATTTTAAAAATTAAAAAACACACATCTATGCACAAAGATCAATTCGTAATATCAAGCTTGAAAGTTTTCAATAAATTATCAATTAATTTTCTACAATAACTTAATAAAATATGAGGATTGTTTCGTTTAACTAATTTTTTTGTTATAGACACAATAAATTATTATTATTAAGAATTAGTATTATTTAAGATTGAATTGTAAAACTATTTTTGAGTTTGTAATGAATTAGAAAGAAGATAGATATTATAGGGGATGTTTTAAAATTATAATTTAAGAAACAATTGGAGGGATGTTTTAAAACAATTGATTGCTTGTATTTAAATGGAAATATTGCTGAACATTAATCGATTACTCGAAGCATAAATAAATAATTGATTTATCATACTTATTATAATTTGAAACATCATCCTTGTCATAGCTATCGAATTTTGTAGCAATGGAAAATAAACTAAATAAATGATATTTTCGAAAAATTGGCACGAGGTCAACTAATGAGCTGCCAGAAAGATTGATTGCCAGCTGAGATGCTGCGTGGGATATAAAACTTTTAATTTTCCAAAAGCATTGTTGAAAATTAGAGTTAATTATCCAACATTCATGTATTGGACGTTATATGAGAATACTAATTTACAGGGTTGCTTTTATATTTCAATGAATAATGAAAAAAAAAAAATAAATAATAAACTTAAATACAAACATCATTTTTGCGATTGTGTATGAAAATGAAATTTCCATTAGAAATATATCTGTAGATTATCTTGTAATGTTTTTCTTATCTTCTCAAATATTCATTTATAAGATGCATTTTAAAAATCGTTTAGAGAAAAATATATCGATACAAATTTACACAATGGAATAAATACATATAAATAGGTATATTAAAATCACTACCATATTATATTAAAAATAATGAAAAATTAATAATTAATAAATAATAAAAGTTTGACATTGAAAAATAAATTTTAGTTCACTTTAAGGTCGATTCGATTGTCATTAAGCATCATCAAGGCTAGGTTTTGCGAGCAACGAACTTATCATTCAACGAAGAAGAAAAAAAATTCACTAACAAAAAAATATCGAGAATGAAAATAATTAACGTCCATCATTGTGCTAAAATTTCAAGGTTGTAAATGAAAATAAAAATCGAGTATTTCATCTTCTATATTCTTTGATATATATTCCAATACATATTTTCAAAGGAATAATTATTTTCCATACTACTAAACGATAAAATAGTTTTTATCAATATGTATACACATATATATATTTAATATATATATATATATAAAGAAATAAAATATCACAACCAATAGCTGAACAGAGTTAAATAAAAACGATTGAGAATTATAGGTAATAACAATTGAATTATATAAAGCTATTTTTCTTTGTAAGAACAATTTTTTCCTCAAACACAACTCGCCGAATTCTTTTCCGGGATTTCATCTTCCCTTTGTTTGCATCAAGTGTATAACAAGAAAAGTACATTAAATCAGACAAACAGACAGCAATTTTGGGGAATTTTTTTCAAAAAATAATTGAGCGAATCGACCAACATAATAAAGGTATAACAATAACCAAAATAATAAATGGAAACCAATAAGAAAAAAAAAAACGTTGAGGTCGTCGAGTTGAGGCCATTCGATAATCGTTTTACGAAAAATATGACTTGCCATGACTAATGATTAAAATTATTATTGAAATAATTTTACTTAAAAAGATTAATTATAACTACTGTATTATTCTAAAAAAGAAAAAAAGGTTTAAGGGGTAGAGAAAGAGTTTTTTAATATTGTTATAACTCTCATAAAATTAATACTTTATTATTAATAATCGAAAAAATATTCTTGTTATTGTTACTTCATTATTTATATCTACTTTTGTACTTTTTTATCGCAATGATTTTTGTGACTTTTGAATTGAATTCAGAATTGACAAAAATGATTGAAAATTGTAAAAAAATATTTGTAATAATGATAAGACGTGTGTATATTAAATAATTGTCATAAAACGACTACCGAATCGCCTTTAAATACTCGTACGTCATCATGAAAAGGTTCATTATTGTGCAATAATTAGTATTTATGTGTGTGATTTTTTAAAAATATTTAAAATTATGTGAAAAATGAATGAATATAGTCCGATGTTTTCGTATTAGTTTATATCAAGAGGTTGAACCATTATCATAATATTAATAATTATAATAATTACCAACAATAAATAAATAATAAATAATGTTTTTAGAAAATAAGAACAAAAATGAAAATACTCTGCTGTTGCTGTAATGATAGTTGCTGGTTGCTCTAAGTTTGAATAATCTAACTCATGTATCATAAATAACAGAAAGAAATTAAGTAAATGATAACAATGTATTCACTGAAAAAAAAAAAAAAACAATTAATTCATATAAAAAAATAATTGAAGAATTAATTTTCATATTTTTTTATATTTATTCATTTTCAGTGATTACATCTTTCTCTCGATACGATAAATGCCATTATTTCAAGGCATATTTATATAAATTGTAATAATTTGTATGTGTTATGAAGAAAATAATGCATTCCCTGTATACTTATATGAAGCCAGAACTCGTTTTGCGCGATATATTAAATAAATACTGCTGATGATGTAAATGGATTTGGGACCTGTAAGATGCCATGTTGAATACCAAACTTTGATACGAAAATAATGTTGGTTAATGAAAGAGACATAGATAGATTAAATGTAGATGAATAGTAAGTGAACGACTGATTATCTGACAAAAAAAAAAAAAAAAAATGTTTAATAATATTTGCGTGAGTAATAATTGAATGTATGTATTATAATGTATGTAAAAATTAATGAATGGACACATTGGCCTAGAATAAAATGATATTAATCATTGCCTCAGTAGTTTTAAAATAATTATAATTACATTATCGCAATTAAAGAAATATTAAAATATTTTTCTTTTGTATATCATTTCTTTTTTTGCTGATTCTTATTATTATTGTAAAAGAAATGTGTTGAAACCAAAAAAAAAAAAAAAATTAAAAGATGAAATATAGAAACATATTAGATAAGAGTGAGCCACAATTTGTGGAGTGATTAAACGTGTTATTGGATTGATGGGTGTAATGTGTGGTAATTATTTTTAAAAAATAAAATTATCTTAAATAACTTAAATGTAGATCAATAAATAATAGAATCAATTTTGAATTTTGTGATGAATTCAAAATATGGGTAAATTAGATCACAATTAATATTTGTGACGTTTTCATTATATACAAGAATCAACAAAAATACGTCTAAAACAATGCACGCTTGTGTTTATGAGATATATGAGTATACTGTTTTGTTTTATCAAGCATATGAGGTTTCACAAAAAAATATACCAAACGAAATCTTTATAGTTATTTTAATTATTTTTCTGTGCTTTGAATTTGGTATTTTATAGAGAGAAAAACAGAATATCCACTAATGTATAAGACACTGAGTCACTTGCAAGCGAAAAGTTCAACAATAAATTATACGTATTTTCTCAAAAAAATATTAAATATATCTCGAAAATAAAATAGTCTTTTGTTCTTTTTTTTCATCCTTCCTTTTTATGATAGAAGTCCAAGTGTAGTAGTGACAATAATTTAGTAAAGTTAAGTATTGATAATACAGATAAGTGTGAAGACAGTTCCGGAAATGGTATTTTAGGAAAAAAGTGTTTAAATTTATTCAAGGCTAACGCGTAGACATAGACGTCACGTTCACACCCTTATTATAATTTTAGCCATTTTACGTTGATATTGAATTCATAGAAAAATATTTAAAAGTTTATTCAAAAAGTAATTTAAATAAATCCAAAGTTAAATGGAATACTTGAAACAATAATATATAAACCGGATTTAGGCTTTTTTTATACATGAATTTTTTAAAAATAAATACCTGATTGTGAGATTAAAATGTTGAACATCACTGGATTAACTTATTAAACATTTTTAGATTGTTGGTTTTGCAAATTTCATTAGATAGAAAAAGTCAAAGTGGTATTAGCTGTGAAAATCAACAGATGTCTACTCTCTAAAGTTTGTTGTTTTCGTTTAAGGATATTGAGAAGTTGCAGTTGAGATTACTGTCGCGATGATCACGGATTTGAAAAGTCGAGAGATACTTTTGTTGTTGGAAAAAGTCACGTAGGAATTCACGGCACGATCTTGGGTCATTGTTCGATTCAACTACTACGACCAACTGGGCTGCACTTTTCTTTGGAGATGTTTAATAAAAGTGCAGGGTTCAAGTGAAGACTTGTCTTAAATAAAAAGTCAAGTTTATCATATAGGAACATAAAAATTGCAACGTTTGCATTTTTTTTTTCAATATTAAACTACACTAGTCAAATGACAAACCACGAATTATTATCAATTTAAACATAAAATAATAAAAAAATACAATTAAAAAATCTTAATTTTTTTAATATATAATGTCGATTTGAAATTAATTTATACTAAATAATTAAAATTAATTTTTGAAATTTGAATTAAAACGATTCAGAAGGAAACTGTATTATCTTCGAAAGATTCCGACGATAAAAATGAATTACCGACTGTTCCGATTACCAATTGAGATTGTTTTATTATCGACATCACTTAGGAGTTCGTAATTCTAACAATGGCCGGAAACATATGTTAGCGTTGATGATGGCATTAAACGTGAATCAGTTTCTTTACTGTGTAGACCATGTGTTCAACATTTCATTATTTTCATCATCCAACTAAAAATAAAAAATAATACTTTTGTTAATAAACAGAGTACATAAAGAGTTTAACGTAGTTAATTTTTTTTGTTCCATACATATTTTGTTTAAAAAATAGATATATATATCTTCAGGTATATAAATTTTGCATGTACATAAAACAAATGTCTTGTGTAGATGCAGTACACATTTCTAAAACGCATAAAATTAATACTAAATTGAATATTGTGAGTAATTAAAACAATTTATTTTAAGCATGTAAATATTAATATATGTTTTGTACAATTTTTTTATTTTTATTATTAATAGAAAAAGTATGGATGATTTTATTAATGATGGTGAATTCGATCCAGATCTAGAAGCTAGATTGTATGGAGAAATTTATTACTCTAACGATACATTTCCTGAACGACCTTTAGAATTTTGGAATAATTCGACATTGGATAAAAGAGTGGAACCATCATGTATACCTCAAAACAATTATTCCAACTACAATCATGCAAGCAATAATCGCGTTAACTCAGATTCATATTTTTGGATGACAAATCCAGCATTTCCAAAACGCTTTCACAATTACCGAAGTTTACCATCTACGTCTAATCGAGAAAATTTACCATCATATCAATACTCTACATCATTTTCTCGAAGTCGTAATCCTAGTAATAATTTATCAAATAGTGATTACATTAATCATTACCGAAATTATTGCTACTCAACCTATGAAAATGATTACCGTCGACCATCATACAAACGTACACAAGATTATCAACAAGTAGTTGCATCTTATAAATCAAGAAGAGCCAATTATTCCAGAAATTCTTCTGAAAAATCATTTTCATCACGTCGTCGAAGACCTGATCATTCAAGGACTCCAAAAACCCGAGAACCACCTAGAATATCACCACAAAAAGAAACAAATAGTACTAAAGAATCACTTGACTCTATTATAGAAATTATCGACGAAAGTCTAGATGATAATGTTGAGAATTCTAATGCAGTAGAAGATAATACTTCAATAAAAGTTACAAGTGCTGTTATTGATGAAAACGTTGCTCCAAATAATAATAGTAAAAATGAAAATACAGACAATGATGCAAGTTCAACTCATCACTGTTCCGACACTGCCAGTAAATATGATGTAAAGGAAAAACAAAAGCAAGTTGACCTCAGTGACGTTACAAACATGGACAATGATATAATAAATTGCTCCGATTCTGAAGAATCTATTTTCGAAGTTCCAGTTCCCCCTAAACCAAAGCCTCCTTTAATCGATCTCCAGGATTCAGATGATTCTTCAGAACCTGAGGAAATAGAAGAAGATGAAGAAGAAGAAACTCCAATAGTTGTACATAATCTAGATGAATCTACCTCTGATTTATCACCAATAAACGTAGATTTGAATACACAAAATGATCAACAAACAGTTGATTCTACCAATATTGATAATAATAAGAAAGAATCTGCGGATGTTAATATTGATGAAAACAATATTATTTTAAATTGTGTAGCATTACAAAAATGTGCTTCAAGTCTTGGAGATATAAAACGAATCAGAGAAACTGCGAATGTAAGTGATGATAGTATGACTGACAGTGAAGCACTTAATTGGGGAACTATTGAAGGACAAATAGTCCAAGATAAACCGCCAATTCCTGATGACGATTCCAACCAGGGGCACTTTAATATTAATTATTTTGAAAAATCCCACAATAACGAGAAGAATCAAGATATATCCGACAGCACTCATACTGATAAAACTCCTATCAAAAAATCGATTCAGGCATCTAATCTGAAGGAATCGATCAGTGAACCATCGAATTTACTAGAATCACCAAGCTGTAGTAAGGATAATCAAGATATAAATATTGTAATTAATTGCAACACTAGCGAAAATACTGTTGAAATACCATCGTTTCCCATTCCTCGTCCAGAGAAATACAAAAAAAGACCTCATAGGTCGATTGAAAGCGAAAACAATATAAATATTAATAATCCTGACCATCAAGAAGCTTCGACTTCTACCAAAAAATCACGAACGTCTATCAAATCAACTGCAGAAATGTCATTTGAAGAATATGTATTTCAACCAATGTCAGAAAAACTAAAAGAATACTATGATACCTTTAGAGGAGAAGAGTTTATGGATGATGTATCGTCTATTCAAAATCAAATGCCAAGTAAGTCTTAATTTGAAAATATATTTAGAAATATACGTGTTTTGATATGTTATTAATTATTAATCATTTTATAGAGAATCCAAGTCGCTGGGCAATACTTGATGTTGATCTTTTTGGTCCTAGACGATGGGACAAACATTTACGCTGTGCGATTTGTCAACATTTCGGTCATAAAAAAGACAAGTGTCCATCATTTAAGCAAGTTATTGTTTGTTACATGTGTGGAGAGAATGGACATACTGAACCACGATGTCCTTACAAGATGTGTTTGACAGTAAGTTTGGATAATTACTCAAATTAAATTAAAATCATAGAAACAATTTTTATTAATATTTGATAAATATTTTTCAACAGTGTGGTAAAAAGTATTCGACATATAGAAAAACATGTGAAAATTGTAGAAATTTAGTGTGTACTACGTGCAAAGCACAAGGTCATTCGAATACTAATTGCCCTGATTTGTGGCGCCGATTTCATCAAACCACTGAAAGTTATACTGTGAATGCACCATCGAATCCAGAAGGTTTATTGAAAACACCAAATAAACTAGCGTGTTGTAATTGTGCAAAAAGAGGTCATGAATCAACAACATGCCAACGATATCGATGGTCTCAGCACTTTCCAACTCCTCGATTTGTTACAAACTATGATCAACCTCCATTCTATACACCAAATCCCGAAACTCCTGCATCAACAGAGCCGAGTGAAATTTTATATCATGGTACAAACTATTTTGATGATGTTTTGGCAATCGAATGGGTCACAGATGCAATTTATCCCCATACAATATCAGGAGTTTCTTATAGTTTCATTGATGAATACTCATCTACGCCAGTACATTTGAATAAACATATTCCATCTGATGTATATTACGACATAACGATATCTCGTTTATCAAACAGTTCTCATTTTGTATTCTTAGTGAAATCTACAGATGATAAACTATTAAGTGGGATAAAAAAATTAATAATCCAGTGGTTGCAAAGATCACCTGAAGATAGATCTTTCATGGAATCTACAGAGAGATTGCCGATAATGCAAATGGATTTATTAACTGACTTGAATTCAAAATGGAATTTCTTTAATGAGATTCGGTTTAAAAAAGCAAATCGTTGGCTAGATACTATCACGCATGGCGAAAAAACATTGATAGAAATTGATGAAACAGATAAATTGAGGGGTAGAAAATCCGTGAAACGACTAAAAATGTTGAGAAAAAGATTGAATGGAACAAAAAGAAGGATACTTGCTTATATCTATCGTGAATCTTTAGTTCCCGAAGCAAAAAACATCTTGGAGCAATTTCCAAAGTTAATTGATAATTTGAAGAAGTTTCCAGTGCTTGCTCCTGTGCCGAATGATTTGTATCTAAGTGCAGCTTGGTACAATTTTGAGCTATTTATACCTCATGTATCGGAATATGTTTTAGAAGCATATCAACAAAGACATGGGTATCAAACAAACCTCACAGTTGAAAAAAATAAATCAAAGAAAAGGAAGAATAAACTCAAGAAAAATCGTGATGTCCAAGTAATCGATTTAACAGCAACTGATCAAGATACGTCAATCGAATTGAATGACCAAGATAACAAAATACCTGAACGCAAAAACCTAAAGGTAAAAACTTTGAATGCAAAAAATCAGAATAGAATTGATTTTAAAAGAAAACTAAGATCTTTCAGTAAGAATTTGAAGCGCTATGAAGATCATTTAAATGGTCAAGAACAGATAAAATGTGCTGGCGAAATATTGACATTTGTAAGAAAGAAGAATTTAAAAAATTTCATGAAAGGAGCAAATCGACTCATGAAAGAAGCTCAAATGTCGTTGCTTAGAAAAGAGCATATTTTACATTTTTGGACCCTCATTCGATCTTCTAAATACAACTAAAAGATATTTAAATATCAATGACTAAAACTGCTGTTGAAATCTTTGACGAATAGTTAATAATTAAAGTAAATAAGTTAATAACTATTTAGTTAAAACTTATATTACGTTTATAATAAATAAAAAATACTTTTGCAAATTTATTGTTGTTATTGTATTTTGGTATTTTGTAATTGGTGGCCTTAATGCAATTGAATATAAATAAATCCTTTACATTGAAGAGAAAAAAAAATAAAAATACCCTGATAAAAGGATAAAACAATGTTTTTAAATAATAATAAATCATTTTGTTAATTATTTTAATAGATACAAAGAAAGTTAGAAAACAATGTTTACATTATTTTTTTACTGGAGGTGGTGCAGTCATAGGTGGTGGTGGTCCATTCATCGGAGGTCTCATTGGTGTCATGGGACCCATTGGGCCCATCATAGGACCCATAGGACCCATCATTGGTGGTCTCATTCCCATCATCGGTGGCATAGGACCGTGAGGTCCCATCACCATGGGTCCACCGGGGCCCATCGGTGCACCAGGATGCATTCCTGGAGGTGGCATCATTCCTATCGCTCCTTGTGGAGGAACTCCTGGTCTAGGCCCTAGATTAGGTGGTGGTGGAATAGCAGCCCCTTTAGTTGCTGCAAATGGATTTGAAGCTATTTTTCCTGCTTTGAAGGCTGCTGTTGTGGCGTCAATTAAATTTTGTGCTTGTTCTTCCATCCATTTTTGATAGTAGTATTTTACATTATCTTTATGTTTACGACCTTGACAATGAGTTTTACGTACACTCGGCGAGTCATGTGTTAAATAAGTGTCACAATAATCGCAATAATATTTCGGCATTTTATTATCTGAGAAAATAAATACGTTAATGGTTTGGACATTTGAGGTTAAGACAGTGTATGTCAATACACTGAATAATTGATTGGTTATTCATTGTTTAAATATAAAAAGTGAATTTGTACTTACCGGTTTATAAATGTTCCTATATTTTATAATTATTAAAAGATTGTTTGTTTTTCTAATTCATCTAATTGTCAAGTATTTAACGTGGATCAAAACATAATCCTAGAAGTTTTCTTTCAACATAGTTCACAAACAATGTTTACAATTTTTGAGCAACTTTTTTTTTTGTTATTCTTGGATATTATTGTCAGGATCACAATTTTGTTAATTAGTTTTATTATTGTTTAAATTATTTAAATACTTTTTTTGGAATAATATTCCAGTACTATAAACAACGCCTTATCAACTCTCTGCGAAACTGCACGACACAGAAAGTCTAATACGCAATATATACATAAATAAAATACAATATATGCTCATATATATATATATTTTATTGAAGAACAAACTATAACTTAAGACTCAACTATAGAATTCTTTCCGAAAATGGCGGATCGACTCTAGGCGGAAGCATGTCAGTAATGTGAAATTCTTTTCCGTGACACGCATAAATTTTACTATTAATAACGTTTAAAGACTTAAAATTTTTGTGAAAATAAATTAAGACGTATTTCTTAAAGCTATTATAAATAATATATATTAATTGTAACGTGTGCAAACGCATTTATTATCATCAACTTATACCCATATAGATATTTCTACGTATATTCATACAAGTTATGATAATAATCGCAAAACTTAATTAATATCTTTCTTATTGATCATACAATAAAAACTATTAACCAAGTTACATACTTGATAATATGTAAAAACGTATTAACTTTGTGACAAATAGTGTACAGTGGAATCAAAATGTGTTTTAGTTCACATGATAGTACAGTCGTTTAGATAGTTAATGTATCACTCATTATATATGATATTCATGTATGAGTAAAAACTACGAATATTAATTACTTAATTACCGTTCTATTTCCTACTAATTGATTATCTTCAGATCACAATAGTAAGTATTATCACAAATTACTATTGAAAAATGTCAACAATTATTATTCCTGTATCAATATTTAATTCATATAAATACACAAATCATTAAAATTTGCCGGTAATGTTATTAAAATAAACATTAAAAATTGTTCTTAAAAACCTAACACTTAAAATTATTATTAACAATTTTGAATTACCTTCTAAACTATCATGATAAATCATTTATCATCAAATTTCATTATATACTAATTTTGAAATAATTATTTAGTGAACTAATAAAATTTTGATCAATCAACAAATGAATATGCCATTCAATATCTCATATCTTTTATGACCCTTCCTGGAAAATTTAATAAAACAAAACAATAAACACAATTGATATCACAGCCCTTTGAAAAATCACATTTTATTGATGGAGATGGCCATTAGTGAAGCATTATTGAATGTCAAACAAAGCACAGGGTAAAATAATTTACTTAGTGCCTAATATCCGAGAAATGTCAAGTTGCAGCTGGCATGATTATATACATATGAATGCAAGAGCATAGTTGGTAGCTGTATTGATTCGCTCGTTTATTATCCCGCGTGTTGTATTGCGCAAGGAAGCAAATAGCATATCCGAAACACTCCCCCATTTGCTGGGATGTGTAAATAATGTAATGATATCAGCAAGAAGATAAATTCTTCTAGATTTGTTTTTGGAATTATTTCAAGGCACGTGTATTTATCTTTCCTAGAATCTATCTATACATTTATGTATTTTTCTTCAGGGAAATGATTACGATAATTGATTAAAGATAGTACTATAAGTAGTATTGAATTAATTATCTAGAGTAATAATAGCTATTTAATGACTATTCATTTATTCATAATCTCTTTACCAACAAATAATGATGAAGTAGTTTCGTGAGACTTTATTGTAAAAGAGGCGCTGATCGACGTAATAACGACTTAAAAAAAAATCAACGCAATTTCACTTCTCAGATTCTCCTTTCAGAAGCTTTCACGAATTTAGTCTGTTCCAGTAGACGGCAGCACTGCGATCAGATTATATGTTACACTCAATCGTGGTTGGTATTCAATCCAAATTTTTCCGTTCGTTATGATTTAACTAAATCATTCGATTTGTGTCATTAAAAAAAGAACAAAGAAACAATCTAATTAATAATATTAAAGTATTTTTAACAGATACAATTATCATGAATAAACGTATGTCTAGTAAATACAATGGAGAGTAAATTAACCTGTGGCTAGTGTTATATTACTTTCATCTATTTATCAGTGCAATTCACCGTCTACTGATTTAAAATATCTTCGATTAAGTCATTAAATCAATGATTATTTTAAAAATAAAAAATATCTATGTGTTCGTTAAGTGTGAGGTATTACATTAACAGTGATAATTGAATTAGTGAGTGCAAATTTAGAATTTTATGTGCATAATAATTATTTAATTATTATTGGTTGGATCAATAGACGTTAATGTCTGAACAGTTTCAAGACTAATTAATTGAATTAAAAACTTGAGATATATATTTTCCTATGCTATTATTTTATAAGTGTCTATTAAATTTAATAAAGTATAAAGATATTATTATATTCACTTACTAACTTATATATATATAAATGATTATGTTAATTATGCATGTGGGTATTTTTGTTTGTGTAATGTGGAATGAATACATAAAATGCTAGTGAATATTAAAATTTAAAATACAGCAAAAAGTTGAGCGAGTAAATAAAGAGAAAAAGAAATGATAATTTAAATACGAAAGTCATTATAAGGCAATATATGTGTGTATATGGAAAGGAATATAAAATATATAGTGGTAGATCATGGAATTACAAGTGTAGTGTTATTCACCAACTGGATATAATATTGCTGGTGGTTTACGAGTGTTATGTAGTGTATATCATCACAGCTAAACTGAGTATTATATTAGCCAGATATATATTAGAAAAGATAATAAGGAACGAGTGACCCTCGTTGACCCTCTCTGGATATAATAATAAAAGAGTTTACAGTCATCTAACGAGCAGACAGATAATACTAAAGAAGGATAAAGAAAACAAACGTGAGTTAAAATTAACTTTGAATCAATATGAATGTTTATCAGTATTTATTATAAATGGAGTAGTTATGTGATAAAATAAATAAATTTATCAGTTAATTGACAGATTTGATCACGAATACAAAAGTAATGTTTTATGTATTATGCTTTATTATATGAGCATTTAACAGGAAATAAAAAAAATTGCCAGTCTGTGTTTCTAAATTGAATGAAATGAAAACAAATATACACAAAGAGTGAATACATATTTATCATAGAAAGCGGGTGAATTTCAACGAATAACAAGCAGGGAGAGTTAAACGAAATCGTAGTGCAGTGTACAAGCTACAAGCTCTGTTGAGATACACATATATATTCATCTTCTTTTAGTCGTAGGCCAAATAAAAAGAGAAGAAGACAAGAAAGAGACTGAAAGAGCACCAGTTGGAATAAATGTTTCGAAGAATCGTGAACCGGTCCTCTATACAAATAATAAAAGACTGTATGGTTCTTATGCTTGTTTCTTTATTCTTTTCTCTTTTCTTCAAAAAGTCATGATAATCGATCACAAAAGCATGGTCTGATTTTCTTATTGGCCTTTAGAGGTTCATCATATGACATAATCAAATTTAAAACTGTTCTTCAATTTTAATTAATCTGTCGACATATATCATTTTGGAACAAACTGTTGTACAACTGTTTAAATTTTATTTTAAGATTTATTCTTTTTTACTCGTGTTTCATCGTATTTTACGCTCAGGTTATACTTTACAGTGGAGAAAAAGATTACACTAAGTTAAATTATGGGTGACCCACGTGGCGTGAATGGAGTGAGATTATTTTATCATTCGTATTTATTCTAGTTAGCTTGAATGTAAATTAAAGTGATTGAATCATGCTTTTTACTTAACTAAGGAATGATAATAATATATATTTGTTTAAAAATATTTTTTGTTTTGTTCTGTTAAAAAAAAAAAGTGAGTGATTACATATATGAGATTCATTGGTTTGAAGTATTGAGATAATTTGTGAATGTGACTGTGTACTTTTTTTTTTTCTTTGTTGTGTATCTTAATTCATTGATGATTATTAGGAAAGACAAATTAGAATGCACCTTCCCATAGTAATGACAGTAGGGATAATAATGATAAGAAGAGAAAAGATGGTTTAATAGAACCGGTTATATCTGATCTTATTTACAAAACCAGTTCTACTAGTTTGTTGAAATCAATGCTTTTTTTTTTTATAATCTAATCTTATATTCTTTATTTTTACTCCCTTCATAAATATTTTTTTTTTCCTGCACCGGGTCAGTCGTACGTCGCGGAAATTCTCAAAAAATTTTTTTTTCAACTCTTCTCACACTTCAATCTTGGGTATAAATATATCTAGTGAATCATCATATTTGACATTACAAACTTTTTTTTTTTTTAGTCAATAAATACATAGTTGTAGTAATTAATAGAAACAATTATTTTTCATTTACTAGAATAATGTTTGATTACTGAAAAAAATTATTGAAATAAATTAATATTTATTTTTTTATTTATTCCAGGTATGAGGAAACTTGTTGACATTTTGGAGAGTGAAAAATAATTAAAAAGAAGATTGATGAAGAAAAAGATAGTTGGTAAAAAAAAAAATTATCTGAAGGATACTAACTAACTAGACAAGTTATTTATAAGCCAAATTAGTGGGCCATAGCAATTAGATGTATTTAACTATAATTATTATATGTACAAAGTAACAAGAGACTGTATTGACTAAAAATAATTAAACGTACTAAAATATAAAACAGCAAGCTATAATAAATCGGTGAGTTGCTTCAATCATTACATCATTATTAAAACGGCCCCGTGCTGGACAGACTGAATTCTTTGAGTGCAGCAGGTGGGCCGGGAAGGCAAAGCCTGCTGCTCTACGATGAAGATCGAAAGCGTAATGAGGACAATGAAAGTCCAGTAATTTTAGTGGAGAAAATACATAAGCCTGCTTTGTCATCATCTTCAATAACAACTGTTGCTACAACTTCGCCTCGAGCTCATTATCAATATCAGCAGCAGCAGCAGCATAATTTCCGATATCATCAACAACCACAGCAATATACATCGTATCACCAACACAACTATAATTTACCAATAAGTAGTCCTAATAAATATCCATTGGAACTGACTAAATATCGACAACATTCTTATAATCTGCCACAATCAAATACGCTAGAAGTATCTGAAAAATTATCTTTAACAAATCATCAGATAAATCAATCGCATCATGATGAGGCCCACCACCTCATGGAGGTGGAGGCCAATAAAAATGTCAATTCTGCAGCTTTTGGAATTATCACTGGCAATAACGCTCGAGGCACTACATACGGGGATAGTAGTTCAGATAGTGGGTTAAGTTCATTAAGAAGTACAGCTGGTTCTGGAGACGAGCGAAGTGGAAGCCGTGGTTCAACTCTTAGTGCTGAAGATACCACGACCACGACAACAAATACCACCGTACTATCATTACCTTCCACTACTCCTGTTGTTACAACATCAACAACAACTCCAGCTAAAATTTGGCATGTCAATAGTGTTCAACATTCATCACTTATGATGGCATATCCTTCACAAGGATCAATTGGAGAAACGTTACCAGTGAATTCAACACCAGTTTGTTATCAAAACTCAGTGTCTAGTCATCAACATTCTTCAACCATTACGTCAGACATGATGGTATGGAAACCACCAAGATTTCGTTCACCATTGTCCAATAATCTTCTTGCTACTTCAGGTTTGCCACGGACAACAAACTTACACAATGAAGTAATTCAAGAACGAGAAAAAATGATGCGGTGAGTGTTTTATTTACATTTATGGAATAGAATACTATTTTATATTTATGCTGAATGAAATACTCAACCGATTCAAAATGATATTATTACATTTAACGTGATACAACTTTATTTGATAAATATTCATTTAAATTATTATTGGACAAACATTTAATTATTATTTATATATTCATTGAGAAAATGAGAGATTTTAAAATCTCATTTTAACCATTTAAAATTGAATCGATTAAATATAAATTTAGATTCAAATTTCTTGTGTATAAGTATTAAAAATTTTCCATCATATTTCAATTAAATTTCTATTGGCTTTAATTTGATTTATTCAATCGCAGTATTTTTTTTTAGTGTAATACTATGAAATAAAAATGCAACTCTTGAATTAATGATTGACGTTCGAAATTAGGACGAACGATAAAAATATAAAATGGTTGCTGTCATTTTATTTGATCAAACATCTGACTAACTGTATACACAGATCTATGTTTTGACATAAGAGATTAATAAATAATCAATATAACTTTTCTAAGACTGGATTTTAAAATATTTTCAATTTAATCAATATAAAATATACATAATCAATTAATACTTATTAATGATTAAAACAAAATATTTTATATCATTTAAAGTGGAACTTATTTACTGAAAATATTTATGTCAACTTTTAATTGGGTTAAAAACAATTTTAATGATACTTTGTCTAAGTTTAAATCAATCATAGGTAGAACTTAATAAATAATCTATCGAACACAAATATACAGTTGCTCCAAAATAATTCGTATTCCTACATTAACGTTTTTTTTTTTTTTTTTATTTAATACATATGTGTATATACATATGAATGTAGGTAGGTGCTACATGCAAGTAAATGGTAGCACCAACCTGTCAAACCGGTTTTTTCACCGCCTGTGTTGCTCCAACTTTTTTTTTTTTTTATCATTTTAATATTCCTTTTTATTCACTTTATCTTGTTTTCTCGTATATCCCTTCCTCTTCTTCCTCTTTCTCCTCTTATCCCGCTCACTTTCTCACTTATTCTGCAAGACTTATAGCATCTTTATCTTCCGATGAACCCTTTTATTAAAGCATACGTCCCGTATTTTGAATAACTTAAGTTGCGAAATACAAAGTTACATTGTATTGTATTATATTATTATTATGAATAGTGTAGTGTCTACATGCCTATCATACTCATATGATGCAATTAATAAACATTTTATAACATTGAAATATATTGTTGGTACATTGTAGCTACATGAGTAATATACTTGCAAAACTTGAATTGAAAAGGATTAGAATTTTTTAAAGTTACTTAGTCTTTCAAAATTAAATCACCTGAGAGTAAACAAAGAACAATGAAGTTTATGAATGAATTTATATTATTTTTATATACATATATATATAATTAATTAAAAATGAAATATAGATAATTATCAAAATGAAGTAATTATGACTTTTAATTAGTTTAAATTTATTCAAAGTATTTATTCATTTGTTTGTTGAACTTTTGTCTAACAGAGTTTATTAAATTAATAGATAAATTTTCCAAAGTTATTTCGAGAATTTAAACATTTATTCCAAACTGAAAGTTTCGAGACTTCATGAGGGTCAAAAAACTTTCAACTCATTCTATTTTATGGTTTTAATATGACTAGAATTGCTTTCTATTTTATTCTAATGAATAAATTAATTTTCTAAAGTTTAATGGATATATTAGTAAATAATAACAGTGATTTAACTGTAATGATTTCATTAATAATGTGATAAAAGTTTTTTAAGTTACACACAGAGAGAAAGTAATAATAATAGATGACGATAACAATACACTGTTGATTTGTTGGTAATTCTAAACAGACATATAATTAAAACACGTAAGTAACATCATTATAGAACCTTGTGTGTGAATTGTCGACATACTAATAATTAAAATACTGTGATATAGTATAGAGATTTATGTGTTCTATATTACATGTGCAATTAAATTACTCATGTACAAGTGTGATACACTTATTGTGCCATGACCAACAGCCTTCTACTTAAAGCATTATACAATTTCTTGACATATTTATAACACACATACTTGTATGACATATTTAACATGATTACATGAACAATTACCATGAAGGGGGAAATAAAAATATCTTGATTTGAATTTAGTAGTTGAGACTAAATTACTTTTCATTGACTCAGGATATATTCAACACACCTGGTCTAATTCTTCAACAGCTTCACTCAAGTTATTAAATAGAAATATAAATATCAGAAGGTCAAAATAAGTCATCATTATTCAAATCAATTGTAATAATAATTGTTTTTATTTTATCTATATCTAGCTTCTCTTCAAAAACATCTGATACTTGGACTAATCATATAGAATTATCAACATTCACGTGTAATAATAAAATAACCGATTGCCAAGCACCCATAGAGTGTAATATGATCATAATATCAGGAATAACTAATATACAGTGGAGAACAAGTTGGAATGATTAGAAAACTGGCTAGACGAATGCTATCATCTGCGAAAAGGTGGCCAGTTATCAGTGCATGTATATAATATATACATTACATGGGTGTATGTATATATATATAGGGTATAGTACTGTAATAGATACACATATAGGGAAGAGGTAGCAGTTGTTCAGTTGATTGTGCACGTGTATTAAGAGTATGACGCTTACAAGGCCTTTGACCTCCTCTATATCCCCACTACCTTATATCATAGCTACCATGCTACTTTGCAAGTGGCCTAGGTACCATACTACTTGCATTTATTCTGTAATACAATCTTCCACTATTTACGAGAAAATCCTAGTTACTATGTATATCCCACCCATCATGTCTGGTAATAAACTGAATTTTAAGTATTATCTGTCTAGTAGGTTGTACCTTCTACACCAACACTAAACGTTAAAGGTTACATTTTAATTAACTCGTACTCTCGAATGTCTTTTAATCTTTATAGCTCTTGTACATTGGTTTTATGCATTCATTACTGAACAATTGAATTTTTATTTTATTTTTTTATTTATTAATCATTGGATATTCAGAATTTTATTTAAACTTTCTTGATGGAAAATTTAAAACTGGTTATTGGTTGCTAGTTTAAATACTGGTTTATTTATATGTATATAATTATTAAGTTTAATTTTTGTATTTTATATTTGCAATCATTTTTTATAGTTTATTTTATTATTAGTTGACTTTTATTACTTGGGTGATTTATAACCCATGAAAGTGTTGCTTTTGTTAATTTCATTTATTAAAGGGGAGATTGTTATTTACATTGTAATTTAAATCTTTAAATGGTAAATAATTTTTTTCTTGTGAGAAAGACATTCTTCACTTTTTATATTTATTAACGGAAGTAAATAATGAAATATTTATAACTAATTTATTTATTCATCATTAACAAACTTGTATTCAAAATTTACATTTTTAACTTGCTTTACAACTCTCTCAGATTTGCTGATAATAAATATGGGTGTTGTTTTTTTTTTTTTAAATGAGACATTTTTGTTAGTATGATGAATTAATTTATTTATGAAGGTCTGATGATTATTAATGTTCTAAAGTTATATTTAATTTTTGTAGTTATTTTTATATATAAAGGAAATAGTTTAATTGATTATGATGTATATAGTTTGTCATTGTTATTTATTTGTCACTATCTTTTTACGGAAATATTGATAAATAATTCTATTAACCTCATGGCCATATTTAACACAGTGTCTAAATTAAGATACTTCACTTCTTACAGTAATAACGTTTTCAACCTCTTTAAATGATCGTAGCCAAAAATTTGAACACGTGTTTTTATTTTGGTTTGAAATTTCAAACGTCACATGCTGAGAAAAATGTTTTTTTTTAGATTTACCACATTTTTTTTAATCTGTTCACAACATCACAAATTTTCTTAGTATTTAATATGACCACAAAAAATAGAAAAAAAAATATATATTTTTTATCAATTAGTGTTGACAAAAATAGAAAATAATAATAATAATTTCATTATTTATTTAGAACATAACACAATTATTGTTTACACTTTATTGCACTACGTAAAACTCCATAAAAAATTATAATATGACACATTGCGTAAAATATTTATCTTTGTGATTATCCACCTTTTTGGTACCTAATCATAAATCCAACATCTACTAAAGGTTATCCATTATTCGTAGTCACTTTTAACACTGAAGACCAAGTATTTTTTGCGGTGAGAATTGTGGCTAAGTGTTAGTTTATGTTAGTAGTTGATCATCATGCACTCATATATATATATATATAGTAGGTAGTCGTCTTCGGTCACAGAGAAGGAGCGAGAGCGAGACATCGAGCAAGAGAGACAGTAAGAAAGAGAGCAAATAACTGGAGTCTGAAGAAAGAGAATGACAGAATGGGTGGTCGGGTTAAAAGCAGGTTGGTTCGAGGGGAGAGGATGCAATCATCTTATAATACGATGGTTGGTCACGGATAAGGAGGGGAATTGTGTTAGAGTAGGGGTAAATACTCATGCGGGTGCGCGGAAAGGGCCAAAGTCTGATATCATGGTAGGGGAAAAGCTCTTGTTGGTACCACAGTAGAGTAGCGGCCTTCACCGCGGTTTCGTTATACGGCATTATGTGAAAGTGCCGTTTTTCTCAATTTCGAATTTATTTTTTTATACGTATTATTACACATTGTGAGACTAAAGTGGTGGCTAGAGACAGTCTAGGGTATTGATAATTTGATGGTTATTGATACCAAGTCGTTTGATGCTAATAAAACTGTTATAATATTTAGTAAAGACCCTAAAGCGACGTAGGCGAATGATAGAGACCGTAGAGACGTTCCAAGGTCTTTTGTTTCTTGTGCTGTGAATATATATCTGTATGTATACGACTGTATATTTGAGTTGTGGCGGTGATTAGCCACACTCACTTTTCATCAAAGGATACTAGATTACAATTATTCTCTTTTTTTTTTTCATCTTTTTTTTCTTTCACTTGTGTTGTAAGTGAATATTTATTATTTATTTATTTATTTATTTATGTATCTATCTACATTATTACTTTATTCAAGACATTGATAATAATAAGAGTAATAATTAATAAGACAGGAATAATATAAATACGTGATGTATGCGTAATTTTAAAGTGAATCTGTGAGTGGAGATTAATGTAAATGACCAAGGCAAGTTGACATTGTCCTGAGTGTTGGTGTTTAGTTCTTGGTGTTCAGTGTTCTTGTTGTGCTGGCACATCAAGAAAAAGATAAAAGGGGGAGTATCCGTTATACCTCTACAGTGTGTACAAGCATATAGTGTGAGTGGTAAAGATGGCACAGTGATACAGGAGTTTTAATAACAGTGAACGTCTTAAGAATGGCGATGGGTCATTAACCTGGACAGAATAAAAGTAAAAATAAAAAAGATACAAAAAAAAAGAGAGAAACATATATATATATACACACACACACACACGTGTGCGCACGTGCAAGCCAGGATATTAATCACATCATTTATATATTTAATATTGGTCTATTGAATATATGTATATGTAACTTTGTGACAGTTAATTTTCAAGGTATTAAACAAGTTTTAAGCAATGTTTATCAAGTGTCTTCAAATAATGATACTGAATGATAATGAGTCAGTGATAATAAGAGCGAGTGAACGAGCAGTATGCCACCGGTGTTAGGAGGTGGTGGCGCGACAGCAATGGCGGTTCTTCCGGCAAGTCCGCAGACTGCCACACAGGGAAACCCACATCCCCATAATCAAACGGGACAGACGCAACTTTTACTGGCTGTTAGCGGCAGCCAGCCACAGCCGCAGCTGCTTTATCAACCCTACAATTTGATGCCAGCAACTGCACCAGCACCAACACCAGTAACAACCACAGCAACAGCAACAGCCGCTGGTTCACCTTCTCAAGCTACAAGTTTCACTCAACATTATAACAACTCGTCCTCTGCTCAAATTCTTCATCACCAACAACCGTATCATTACGATCCTTCTGTCACAACCATTCCTCTGTAAGTTTTCACTTGGATACTAGGGTCTAGGACATCACAATGTATCCTTGATTCTCTCTCTACATTCTAGACAAAGAACTGTAACACGTATCTGATGAATATGTAATGAAAATTGGATAACTCGATGATTTATTCGTGAAGAATTTTTTTTCTTTGCTTTGTAATCATATAACGATACAGTAACGTTGAATTACGTAGCACACTCCACTCATATAATATTTATGTACATCATCAATCACACATTTTTTTCATTTATATGAATGTGGAAATAGTTTTTCTGTTATCACTATTATCTTAGCTCTTTTTGCCCCTTGTGATTTGTTGCTGGACTTGGGTATCTTGGATAATAACTTTAAGTCTGTTTTAATACAAAGACAATAATATGATTTTGTATTCGTATATTTTCATGACTCAGATCTAATTAGTATGTGTATGAAGCGTATATGTATCAGTAATTATAGCATAACACTTGTCAGTTTGTATTTTGTTTACATTTATATAGTTAACGAGTATCTTATCAGAGCATTAATTACCTTTATTTCTTTACTCTTTCACTATGTGCTCGTTTTCATGCGATAATTATTGATATTTTAGTACGTGACAATCCTTAGAAATTTTATATATTCTTTCGTCACTAATTCAATGATAATTAAAATTTTTTCATTGAAAGTAATTAATTATTAAGCTATTATTTTTGTTCAAATAACTGAAATCAATAGTCTTTAAATAAAACAAAAATGTTGTGCTAAAATGTCTATCAATTAATTAAGTAATTAGTTCAATAGGTTGAGGAATTGTGGTTGCATAAACATTAACATAAGTTGAAAGTAAAAAAAAAAAAATAAATATTTGCAGTAGATGCAGAGATTACAGCACTTGTATTAATAAATTATTTAATATCATCGATTATTGATATTGGATTTATTTTAATTACAAATTGATATTATTTTTAATTTATATGAGACTTTAAACAATGAGTAAATTAAAAGATAATAATTAATATTATTTATGATACTCCAAAATTAGTCATTTAATTTTTTGTTTACGTCAAGTAATATTTTTTTACTTGAAAATATTCTACTCCCAATTAAATGTCTAATGGATATTCATTAGATTAACGTCACTATTTATAACATTAAAATTTAATTAAATAAACTGGGAAATTAAAAATCTAATTACATCATTGATAATTATAAATTTTATAAATCTTTCTAAACAACACCGAGATAATTATTTAATAAAAGATGTTTATTGTGAGTATTTACTGACTCATAGTTTTGATATATGCCTTTAAGATGAAAAATTTCATCATTAAAGATAAAAATCTGAAAAATATTAATATTTTCTATGATCACTTGAATGTTGCAGTGAACGAAGAGGAGACATGGAAGTACGTGCAGAATTAGAGATAAAGCGAGATCGAGAGAAGGAAGTCAAAATGGAGCGTGAGAAGTTAGAAAAACAAAGAGCTGCCGAACAGGCAGTGCACAAGCATTTTGAGGAATCACTAAGATTAGCACAACAAAAGGTTAGTATGAATAATTTATGACAATTATTAATCTTAAAACTTTTAATTTCTTATGACATTGTAGAGTATTAACATTTTTTTCAATATCTAAATTGTGTCTTGAGGAACTTATTTTTATTTCCATTACAATTTCATTCGTTGAACATTATCTCGTCTTATCTTTTATTTGCTTTAGCATTGTCAGTTGTATATTCGCATGTGAATGATAAGATATGGTTTTTTTTTTCTTTATAAATCAACCAATACATGTTCATTGAGATAATTACGTAAACTTTGATTAGTACTGTCGAATTTTTATCCTCTGGGGATTAAAAGCTAATAATAGTAATAATATATCGAAATGTGTTACCATTCTTATCAGAAATGATGTGGATTAGATCAGTCGTAGACGTACTGTATATCTAAATTTTTTTATAAAGTAGATTTATCAAGAATTTATTTTGACATTAACATATATGATAATATATCAATTTATTTAATCGAAACAATGGAAATTTAATTTTCAAAATTGACTTTATTTTTCCAGAGAGACATGCAGTATGCTTCATTGGGTTGGAATAGCATTATTCCATTACCACCACATGGAAGCAGAAGTCATGGAGCTCCACCACCTTCATCACAATCAAATATTCCTTCACATGGACATCATCATCATTCTAGTGTAGCATCTCATTCCGTACTAGCTCAATCACAACAATTGCAACAACAAAAACAACAGCAACATCAACAACAAGAGCAACGTGAGAAACGTGATCCAGTAATGGAATGTGAACGTGATATACAAGGAACAGTGGCAGACAGGATTCATAGGATTGTAATGAAAACACGAGAAGAAAATTTATCACAAGGTACAAGGGAAGAACGTGTTGATCAACGAGAAAAAGATCGTGAACATTTAGTAGTAACAACAGCTGCACCGACAGATAGAATTCATAGGATTGTGATGGAAACAAGAGATGACAATTTAAAATATTTAAAACGAGGCTCTAATACTTTTTATTCTACTCCTCCTCCTATGCCGGTGAGTTATAATTTTTTTGATTATTTATTCTTAGGTTAAATTTTCCAATAAGAATATTATTTTTAGATTTTGCGACCTTCAACTGTATTAAATAAAGTCACTGATCCACCACGCTCAGCATATTCGAGAATAGCAGTGCCACAAAATATTGGCGAATCGTCTCGTGTCGTTATACAAGAGTGGCCAGCGCGACCGCCATCACCATCAATGTATGCAGAATATGAGGAACCTGATCATGATATTAAAGTTGATAATGATCATCAGCATAAATCAAGCAAAAATTCAATTAGTGGTGGCAATCTTAGTGATCGAAGTGAACATTATCACCACCATCAACAACATCCGTCTCAACCTCAACATCATTCGCATCATCACCATCATCATCCGCATCATAATAAAGAAATGTTATCTAATCATTCATTAATATCATCAGATCATAAAAATTCTGTCATTGTGAAAAATGATCAACAGCAAAGTAGAAATGGTGCTGGAGATACTCAAAAAATACCTTATTCTTCTAGTCCAAAAATGATGGCATATCCTAATGTACAGTCAACGCAACTTAAACCTGTTGCATATGAATACAGAAGTCCTACACAAAGCCCTCATCATCATCGTTTACATCATCATAATTTGGACAGCAGTAATATTCAAATGAAAGGTTTGTCACCAACTAGTAGTCATCATAGAGCGGCTATTGTCGTTACTGCAGCAGCAGTTGGACCTTTTCAAAGTCCACAGAGCAGTAGCCACTCTCCACATTTGGCGGTACATAACCGACAACCACAGTCACCTCATCAAACGGCACCGCATCTTACGGCATCAGAGCAACCACTACCTCGACATCTCAGTAATAGTAGAACCGATTTACCTTATGTCTCGTCATCAACGTCGTTGTCGTCATCATCGCCGTCACCATCTCATTCTTATCTTCATCATCGTCCACCCAATGTCTCTCCAACACCGCACTATGCCACACAAACGACTTCCAAACCTAAAGTTAGTAGTCCTGCACCACCTCATATATATGGAAAGCCCACATCTGGTATTATGACTGGTACTCCAGTATGTCGAAATTTAGAATCTTCTATCTTAGCACCTTTACCACTTACTTCAAAGATTTCGAGTCCGTCGTATCAACAACAAGAAAAACATCAACAACAGCAACAAGTGGCTCGTCATCATGGAGTATCACCGTCACCCCCATCACTGCCACCTCCAGCGCATACTAGTCGATCTATTTATGATTCACGAGGATACTCGAGTTCTTTACCAGTATCCAAATTATCACAACCACCACCACCGCCACCACCTTTACCTCCATCGCCGCATCAAATGCTTCACGGATCTCCGTCTCCTTTAGGACCTCCAACTTTATCCAAATCAAGTGTTCCATACTCTTTACATGTTGGTAATCACAATCAACTAGATGAAAGAGATAAAGAGCAGGATAAAGACTCACAATCTTTAGCATCAGCTAATATATCTTTTCAAACTCAACCGTTAGATCTTGGTGTTGAACGATCTGATTCACCGAAACGTAAAGCATCAGCATCAAACGATCATACTAATCAAGCTATTTCTTCAGGTGAATTTAAAAAGCGTAGAACAGAAGAACCCCAATTAGCATCAACTTCACCAGCTTCTACGGCTCATAATAATGCTGGATTATTTGCTCAATCTAATCATCATCATTATCAAACAGCAGCACAAGAAAATACAGTAGTTTCTCTAGCATCAACACCAAGTTCAAAAATAGTTAAAAATGAGGTTACTAGCGGAAATACAAATTTTACTACATCTGTAGGACAAAGTTCTACTAGTAATGTTACATATACTGCCGTACCTACTCTGACCGTCAATGAGTCTACTACTTCAACAAATTCAACGTCCAATAGTTCAAGTACTGATATTGAAAAATCTAACAGTCCTGTATCTGTTGCTGTTAGTAGACCACCAAGTCGAACTAATTATCCAGTTCATAAGCTCAAAAAGGCTTGGCTTCAGAGACATTCAGGTGAGGATGGTACAACCAATGATGATTTGTCGAATATTAATGTTACTAATAATGACAGTAGTAATGCTAGTTCGAATTCTCTTGGTGCAAATGTAAACATACCAGAGTCTAGTAAAATAACCGCCTTAACATCATTAACAACAACGACTACGACTGTGACAACAGCATCAACGACAAGTTCATTAATGGTAACAACTACAACTTCAATGACAACGTCAACAACGACTGCTACAGCTAGCACTCCTTCGAGTGGGTTTCATTCAACTGAAAACTCTGGAAGCATGACAAATAATAGTCAAAATAAAAATAAAAGTACTGGAGGTAAAGCAGGAAAAAAATCAACAAATAAAGAATTAAATAATGGTCATACCATTGAAGAAAATAGTATAAAAAATCATTTTCAAGAAGATTCATCTAGTAGTGATGTCGAGCGGAAATCACCATCCAAAAGAAAACCACCATCCAAGGTATCTATTAATACAAATAATGATACGTAAATTCCTAATTGCTGTTATGAAGTTTTTAAATATTTTGATTAATAAATATTAATTGTTTTATTTGCAAGTAGTTTGTGTATTATAGAATTTTTCATGATTTATGAGTTAGAAGCTATGTGTTGGAAACAATTTTATCTTAATAAGAGAATTATCTTGATAAATAAAGCATGAGGGTAAAGTCAACCTGGTTAACCTTGACTCATTAGACTACTTTTTTAATTGTCAATGATTATTTTTAAATTACATTATTATACAATACTGTAATGTTTCAAGAATTCAGTTAATTATAATTAATTTTCAGAGTTATATTGACATTAAATAACAGTCCAATTATTCCTTTGTAATTCCAAATCAATAATTATTCCAAAAATAAGTATCCAAGTGCACTTTTACTTCCAATTCTTGACGATAAATTTTTTTTTCTAATTATAAATCATTACTTTCTAACTTAAACATAATCTTGAAGGAATTCAATTAATTATTGCAAGAAAGTTTTACTTCATACTATAAATACAGTTATTTAATGAGATTAAAAAAAAAGTGTACATTTGAGTGATCAAAGTTATCCAGGTTGAGTAAGAAAATATTTTTTTTTATTAACTGATAGTTATCAAAGATATATTTTGTATGCTAACTTAATAATATTATATACATTCATATTATATAATAGATATAATAATAGTTATTTTGTATATGGCGTCAGGTATATTTGAATTTTTCCGCCTTAACAATGATGCGCCATTACGACATGTTCGCGTGCACGTACACAAAATTATGTATAGCACATAGTGTACGGTATGTATAGTCCAGTGATGTATTATGAATTAGAGCGTGTATTCATTGTGTTTGATTGCGTCAGTGCACTTGAACTGCCTCAGAATTTGTTTGATTAATTCAAATAAAGGAATTAATCAAAAGTAGTGAGTAATTATAAATATTCTAGTTATTTTAAAAAGAAAAATTGTAATAATATAAATAACTGCGTAGTAGTAAAGTATGATAGTTTTCGGCGTCGTTGAGAAAAAAATTCCGGTTACTTAACCTTACTTCTACCACCATAGACCACTGAAAAAGTAGTCATTTGAGAAACCTTTGGAAATTTGGTTTTATATTTGATTGTAATGGTAGTATGATGTAGTAGAAGTGGTAGTCATTTTTTATTCAGTTATTTTAGTGAGTATTGTTATTTTTATAATTCAAAAAATGTATATGCTGTAATAAAAATGCATGAACTTACTGACTACTTAATAATCTATCAATTGTGGTAGGTAAAACGTAAAAAAGGAGCTGTATTGCTGCGAAAACAACAGGCAGCTGTGGAAGAACAGAGACGAAAAAAAGACGATAAGCAACAGCGACAACAAATGGGATCAGGAATGGATGGGACTGGTGGGGGAAGTGGTGGTGATTCTAGTAATGAAAGTGAAATTGGCTCAGCAACTAGTGATACTGCTAGTGAACAACTGTGTTCATCTTCAGCCGTTCAGTCTACTACAAAAAAAAATTCAACAACTAATTCAAATAACCTTATAGGCAATGGTTAGCTTTCATATCATTTGATTTGATGACTTGATACACTCCATTTATCTTCTAAAATATTTATAAAAATTTTTTACTTAATCAGGAAGCAACATAAGTAACAATATCAATACTCCAAAGGAACCTAGGAAGCGAGGTCGAAGGCCTAAGAATTCCAAAGGAAATGATGTTGGAGGTGGCAGTGAAGATCAACAGCCTCGCCAAAAAAAAGAACGTAAAGATGATTGTTCTAATAATGAAAACAGTCCAAGTTGTAATGAAACTGGTGGTGGTAATAATAATGGGCGAGGTAATGGGGAAGGAAGTAGCGGCAATGGTGGAAGTAGTGGTGGTAACAGTAGTAACAATGGAAAAAATAATCCATTTTGTAAACCCCCTATATCACAATTGAAAAAAACCGGTGATAGCTGGCTTCAAGATCTAGCTTGCTGTGAGGTTGCTCCTAAACTAGCCAAATGTCGAGAATGTCGTTATTATTCAAGGGGTCCTTTATCACGTTTAAAAAATCAAAAAGTTTTTTGTCGCTTTTATGCATTTCGACGATTACGTTACACGAAAAATGGTCAACTAGCAATTGCTGGTTTCAGTGATCCTCACAAAGATGCATCAAAGGTACATACTTCAAATAAATTATGTTCAAGCAATTGAATTATAAATGATAAATAATTAATTCTAATAAATAATACTTCTTCTAGGATGACATAGCACTTTGGTTGCCGTCAAATCATCATCAAAAAAATGATTTTAAAGATTCTGAGAAAATGCATGTTGATAATAAAGAAGTTTCTGGTGATTGGCTGGACTTGACTTATGATATGGCATATCGACTTATCTGCCAGGTTGGTGACCAATTCTGCGATCTCGTCCGACAGGAAAAAGAAGCTCTTTCGGAGCACATGGCAGACGGTAATTATTCACGCTATTTTATTGTCTACACTGATATATTTTTATAATTTTTCATGCATAAAACTTTTCACTACATTACTTTAATTATTGGCATGTTTTTTTAAAAAGTAAACGTTATATGCATTATTATAATTATTTATTATTATTATTATTATTATTATTATTATTATTATTATTATTTTTAATGTTATTTATTTATTTTTTTTTCTTTATTATTATCGACTGATTGTCACTGTCACACATAAACACGTACATATACAGCCGAAAATGGAATTGTAGACGGTACCGTGGCATGGAAACGTGTGGTCCAAGGTGTTCGAGAATTGTGTGACGTTTGCGAAACAACACTCTTCAATTATCACTGGGTCTGCGCTAAGTGTGGGTTTGCAGTGTGTATAGATTGCTTTAAGGTAAGGCACAAACAAATTAAATATTAATCAATATTCTTTACACTTTAATGATTTTATGATGAAAAATTTTTTATTGGTGATATACCATGATAAACAATTGAGCTTTTTAACACTGAAAAATCAACTTATTACTAATTTTTATCATTAAATAAAATAAATATAAATTATAAAAAGAAAACTTCCTCTTGCAGGGACGAAAAAATGGATCAGTTACAATCTGGGGTGAGAGTGGAAAAGATCGTGATGAATTTTCTTGGTTGTTATGTACAAATCGTCATACTCATGCACCTGAAAAACTTATGCTCACTCAGATAATTGCTGGAGATAGTTTATCAGTGTTGGGCGAACAGTTACATCAAGTTAGAGCTGAATGGGGTATTCCACAACACTGTAATTGTTCAGTAGCAGAATCATCGATATCGAAAATTCCTGTTAACGAAGCATTGAAAGATTTTATTAAAAGCGAAAATCAAGATATAGTAGTAACGAATGACGACAAAAAAAATATTGGAGTGAATAATAGTAAAGCAATATGCGAAAAGAAAGGAAGTGATGGTGCCAGTGGAGGACAAGACAAAAATTCACCTCTTAATTGGTTAGCGGATGTTGCTCTTCAAAATCAAGATAATAATAAGGATTGTAATGACAGCAGTAGTAGAAATAAAGCAGTAGTAGAAATCTTATCTTCGGACTCAGATGAAGATGAAGAAGATCATGATGGAAATTATTCCACTCTTAGAGAACTTTTAATTCGTCCGTCTCATAAATCATCAAATGGGAATATCGCAGGTGCAGGAGTATCTGATACTGGTGCTAATAGTGATGGTGGCCGAAGCAAAAGTAGTGGCAGTGGTAACAATGATTCCAGATCTAATTCCCCTACGAATAATGGAGGAAGTAACAATCAAGTCAATTCGTCTACAGCGAATAGTGTTATTGTTAATAATGTAACAAAAGCAGGTAAAAAATCAAATATGGATAAACTTGATGAAGTAATATCAAGTGTCATTGAACATACAGTTAAGAAAGATCGAGAGGACAGTGGAGTTGATGATTCAGCAGAGGCTACAACAGCGTCAGCAACATCTGCAACAGTAAAGGGAAAGCCACCGTGTGAACTTAAGCATTTTGTTAGAAGATATAAGTGGACGGAGAAAGGACGTGAACCGTTGCCTATTAGAATTATGACTTTGACTGAAAGTAAAAGTCTGTATCCTAATGTTCCGCATTCTTGGCTGTGTGATGGTAAATTATTAAGGCTCAATGATCCTCAAAATATGAACAATTACAAGATATTTCAAGATCAATGGAAACGAGGGCAACCAGTTATTGTATCTGATGTTTCTAAATCACTTAATATGGAACTATGGCATCCAGATTCATTTATTCGTGACTTTGGAGATGAAAAGAATGACTTAATTAATTGTATGACTGGGCATACAGTACCTCATCAACCAATGCGTAAATTTTGGGAAGGTTTTGAACATTTAACAAAAAGACTTAAGGACGATAAAGGAAATCCAATGCTTTTAAAACTTAAAGATTGGCCACCTGGTGATGATTTTGCTGAATTGTTACCATCAAGATTTATGAATCTAATGGAGGCACTTCCACTCTCAGAGTATACTCATCGTTATGGTCGATTGAATTTGGCTAGTAGACTTCCAGACTGTTTTGTAAAGCCAGATTTAGGTCCAAAAATGTATAATGCCTATGGTTCGGCTATGTATCCTAATAAAGGAACGACTAATCTTCATTTAGATATTTCTGATGCTGTGAATGTTATGGTTTACGTTGGTATTCCAAAGGACGGTGATAGTGATGAACACATTAAAGAAGCTTTAAGAGCTATCGATGAAGCAGGCTGTGATATTTTAACTCGTCGACGAGTTCGAGATCGTAGTGAAGCACCTGGAGCGTTGTGGCACATTTATGCAGCTAGAGATGCTGATAAAATTCGTGATCTACTAAATGCCGTAGCTTTAGAACGTGGAGCACGTCTGGAACCGCATCATGATCCTATTCACGACCAAAGTTGTTATCTTGATGGGCCGCTACGTGAGAGACTCTACCGTGAATACGGAGTCGAAGGGTAAATAATCAACTGTTCATGTACTTATGGAAAAAGAATTTTATCATATTAATGTATTTATTTTTTTTTGTTTTTAGATATGCTATAGTCCAGTGCTTAGGTGATGCAGTATTTGTACCAGCTGGTGCTCCACATCAAGTACGAAATCTTCACAATTGTATTAAAGTTGCCGAAGATTTTGTTTCACCAGAAAATGTATCACACTGTTTCCATTTAACTCAAGAATTTCGTGCACTTTCTGATACTCATACTAATCACGAAGACAAACTACAAATTAAAAATATCGTATATCATGCTGTAAAGGATTCACTTACAGTGTTAGAAACAGCTAAAGATAAGGTGTATGATATGAAGAAGGAAGTTGAAATTAAAAAGGAGAACGATTTAACGTGGAAAAAAAAATAATTTACGGAAAGTAAGTATATTAATTTTGATTTTACTGAAAAATTGAAAACGTTCTGTTTACATTGATTTATATGAGCACTAAGCTATATAATTTGACAAATAATTGAAACGATATACATACTGAAAATGTATAAGATTATAAAAAATTATAAAAAGAAAACTAATGTGAATTACTTTACGTATTAGAATAAAATAAAACATTATCATAAATGGCTCTTCACAATATCATCATCATAAATTGTTATTATTATTGTTGTTGATGTTGTTGTTGCTGATGATGTTGTGGAGTTGTGATATTTGACTGATATTTTCTTATTTTTTCTTATTAATAATTAATAAGTTATTCTTAATGAATAACTTTGATGTTTATTGTATATTAGTTAAGAATAAACCATACTTTGCACTTTTTTTTAAATTGATACATTTAATTTTTTTCATTGCTATGTCTGTAATAAACAAACTGATTTGTTTAGTAAGAAATCTTTAATTTTTATTAAACTGCAACAAATATAGTAAAAAAAAAATCACTGTAACTTTGCTATTGTGGCAAAAGTTACTACATTCAATACCATCACTGTGATAAACACAGTCCTTTGTAATCAATTTCTATTATGAATGAAATTTGTGTGAAATGAGATATTGAAATCATTCATTATCGATAATATTGTCCATGTTTTATTTACTATGGGCGCGTGTGTGCATGTTGAACGAGACTTGACCACTGCCGTTTTTATGCAATCACGTCTCATAAGACAAAAAAAAAAAATAATAAAAATTCGAAAAAAACACTTAAGTGCCGTCCATAAGATTGGACTTGATTTTTTCTTGTTTTATTTCACTTAAACTTTTTACTCTTATAATTTTATTATCAGTGCATGATTAATAAAAAAAAAAACAAAAAATATGAAAGTGATTACAAATATAAATAGTTTTTTTTTACTCCTTCTTGAATATACAAAATCCGCAGGGAAATAAATGATGCTAATACCGTCTTATAAAGAGAAAAAAAGAAATATAATAATTTAAGAATCTTTTATTTTTGTAATAATGCCAAGAATTTTTTAAAATATTATTTTGAAATTGTCAATAATATGTACACATAGACATTTTGGCTTAAACTATTTACTATATTTAAACAAAATATTGTAATTTAAAAGATGACACGATTTTTAATAATATGTACTATCAATATTAATGGAATATTTAACGATGCAAGCCTAAATGAAACGGTTTATGCTATTTATAATACCCTGTATTAACAACGATTTTACTATATTTCAAGAGAAAAAATGTAATTACATTTTAAGCTTACGATTATAAACAATGTAAATATTTCTAAAAGTCAAAATAAAGTAAAGAAGGTCATAAATAAAATTAAAAAAAATTGGAATAATTCGTGGTAATGAGAGAATAGTTACACTCCCGTATATGTACAAAGTGTATATAGATTCAACATACTTTATGTATATGTATAAATATGATAATAAAGTTTAAAGATACGATAAGCATAAATATATTGTAATAAGTAATAGGTGTTTCTTCATTTATATTATAATAATTTTTAATGTAAAAAATTTTTATATATGTACGTGTTGTAAATGTATGTAAATTAGTGAATGATAAATAATGCAGTTATAAGAAATTATGGAGGAAAGATCTGTGGTTTATTTATAATATAAATAAAGTTTAAGAATAATGTACAGTTTTTTGAGAAAATAATAACAATCGTAACATTAATAATAATTATTATAAGTGATATTCATTTAAAATTTTAGTTACATCTTGATACTTCAAATTAAGCTCAATAATTGAATCATAATTATGTTTATGCTTCATTACTTACTAACAGCTTTTTTTATCAATATATTTTTCAAAAATATCAAAGCTTCATTTATTATCTGTTCACAAATTAATCATTTATCTCATATTGATTCATTAAAAATTTTATTCATTAAATATAGATCACTAACTAGTAATACTATAATGAGAAAACAATTTGCAAATAATAGTTTGTATTTAAAGATAATTTATATGCTATGCAAAACCTATAATTCCACATAAAAGGTGCTGTTGTGGTGCCGATTGAGAAAGTTTTTCTTTCATAACTATTGTACGACCGATGATGCCAGCATTCACTCGATTAGTTAATGTAAAGTAATGATGATTGGTCATTTCTTCTATTTCTGCTATACCATCATCTTCAACTCTGATATTATCTATAAGATTGCTAATTCGATATAAAGGATCAACCACTATGTTTTCTTCTGTTCCATTTACAGGAGTTTCATTATTCACCTGTAAACATATAAAATATTTAGTGAATCATCATCAGATGTCTATCTGAAGAATGAATTATGATAGGAGGAAGTTTCATGCACATGCATATAGGAAGTAGTTACATGTACATCATGTTCAATGGATAGAAGTTAATTACACTGTATGGATTATAAGGCTTTCCAGCAGATAAACAGCCTTCTGAGAGTTGACCTTTTTGATAAACAATAAGTTCATATGGCATTTTAGAATTTAAACCAGATACGTGTCCTTTTATTTTAATGCCACCGTGATATTGTTCAAGTGACAAAATTCCTCTTGGACCTTCTGCTATTGGTAATCCATTATTTTGATAAGATTTTAAATCGACCATTGCTTTCGTTCCTATAGCCTGTAAAATAAATCACTATCAGATATAATATCTAAACTGAATGTTATTATTTATTTCTTTTTGAACTTGAAAAAAAATATTTGCTAAGTGTGGGGTTCGAACCCACGCTCCCTCTCGGGAACCAGAGCTTAAATCTGGCGCCTTAGACCGCTCGGCCAACCTAGCTCGCATTTTTTTATATCATAAAGTTATTCATCTATTGTTAAGTAATGTTGCTTGCATAAAATCTTTTTTTCAACAGATTGTTTCTTAAATTATTATCTTTAGGCATAAAATTTAAACCTCACGATGTTCATAATTTTTCTTTTGTAAGTTTATCTTTAGCCCGCGTTTAAATTATTAAAGAGCTTAATTTTGATCACTAATTAGTTGAATGAATAAGTTGAAGTAAAATGAATAGAGTTTTGAATTGTTGAAAGAATCAAACTATCATTTTAATTTTAGAATAATAGTATTAATAGGTTATGTAATACTTACAAAATCGTATGGCTCCATATACACTTCATAAATATCACTTCTTACTCCAGGATATCCTGGGATTACTTTAACATATAAAGTTTTATTGGATTCAGGATTATCAGAAAATTGATCATTGTTGCTGGGAATTTCATTAGTGTCTGCTGAGTTTGCCACACAATTTTCATTATACGCTGTTATTACAAATAATAATAGTAACACCTTTAATGTCATGTTTTGAAAATATTTACACAATTGATCAACAATTTATTAACTTTACCAATATTTTGGAAAGAATATTTATCAATACACTGGTTTATTATCAATCGAATAAGAAATTGATATTCACATGATTTCAAGGATGTGCTACTACCACGAAACTTGCAAGTAAAGTAAATAAAAGTTCATTCAGTGATAAATATATACCCATAGCAAGGAATACCATCAGTAAGAAATGTGAATAAATATAATTTACAGAAGATCCTTGGTTTGATAAGTAGGATAATGATGATGGCGATAACATACAAACGTCAAGATGGTGGACATATTAATGGTTAAACGATTACGGTCATACATCATTTCTAATTAATTTTTAAATTTTAGTACTCCGCAATAAAAAGCAGATGTATTGCAAATTTATAGATATAGTAGCAAGCAATCATTTAATCGTAAACATCTTATTATTCAGTCATAACAAATTTCATAATTCACTTCAACAAAGTAAACAAGTAAAAAACTAGTATTGACATATTATAAAACTGATAAAGTACAACTGAAACTAATTGTAAACAATTGAAATTTTATTAATATAAAAAGAAGAGAGTGAATGCCATAAAGTCTAAAATAATAACTGATGATTTCTTCATCAATATAAAATATCAGCTTATCTTTACACTACACTTATTATTTTATATTTATCCTGATGTTTTGACCTTAGATACATTGGTAATCAAGTGTTGCAATTTTTGCTTCAATACTGTGATACAAACCAGCAGAATAATCAATTCATTTTAGATTATTTTAAATAATCAGAATTTTAGCAGCCGAGAAATTCCAGGTAAATGAATTTAAAAAAAAAGCTTTCCAATTTCTTCTAGAAGTATCTTCCTCTTTCTGGAAGGATAAAACGTTAACTTGACCTTGACTATCTATTTAATGCTTGACTAGAAAGTCTGATTCTTTTGCTTTTTTTCCTCCCAATTTGCCTGTGACCCGTAATTTTAGTTCGGTTATTATAATTAACTGGTTTCTTCCGGTTTTGTGTATATAATAAATATGATTTATTTATTTTTTACAGATAAATACCAATTTTTTATCAAAAATTTATTCAGAATTATCACAATATTGTTATTTTTGGGTATGGTAGGTTGAAAAATAAAATTTTTATCAGATTTAAAGTTATTATTGAAAAAACATTAATTATTAAATAAATATAAGAGTTAATACGATATTCTGTTAATGTTGATATAATGATTGATCATTTATATTATTAATTAAATGAATACTTAGTCAATTTAATAGAATAAAATACATACTTGCACGTGATTTAATAAAAAGACAATTTGTAATTTTATCCAGCAGTGTAATAAATTTTTTCTTTACTCACTTTTATGTAATTAATTAACACCATTAACACTATTTTATATACATACTATGTACATATTAATGTTCAATGTAATTGAATGTTATGTACAAGAATGTAAAAATGAACAGATGGAATCATTGAGTATATATTAGTCGGCCTCAATTACTTGAGCAGACTGGGTCAATGATGGAGAATCAGAAATGATTAAGAGTTCTATCCTTCACAATTTTTCCATTGTATATTAAATTTTTTAAGTGTTTATACATACATTTAAATTGTACAATTTTTTAATCCTTCAAATGATTTTTTGTTACCCTTTTTTGATCATCAAAGTATTTCATTTCATCATCAATTTATTAAAATCTCATTCTATAACTCTCTAAATGTTCGTTCAGGTTGCTAGCTAAATATGTGTTTATTATTTTAATAACTATTTTAAACATAAAAAAAGCTAACATTTATTTTTAACTGAATTATAGATATTTTTTATAAGGATGATTATACCTTGCAGATATAAGTAATCATGGTAAAGATGTTTCGAGAAATTCATTGATCTACTAATAATGTCAATTAAATTTTTTTTTTTCATAATTATAGTGTTAACGAGAAAATTGCTATAAGGTTATTAAAAATTATTATTAAGAATTATACTTATAACACATTTTTAAATGCAATTAATTTTTTTTTTTTTTGGTATTCTTTTTGTTTTTAAATCACACGTCTAGACATAACGGAAGAAATGAGAATATAAAGAAACCTATTTTTCTTTTTGCAAAGTCAACTAATTACCTACATAATTATATTGATTATAATATTATGCACGATTATATTTATTGTAGAAGTAATAAAAAGACAACATGTATTCATGACATAATTCTCAAGTTCATTTATTGCTATGACGTTTGGTTGATGTTTTTAAATTCTGTGAAGTAATTTTTTAAACTTTTTCTATTTTCATACGTCAATGAAGATGTAACGTTATGAATATTTAAACAGATTGCAATTTTTATCTTGAGAGAAAAAATTCTCAAGTGTTTTATAATAAATAAGTTCGTTGACTGTGCTGACGTCTTTTTAATGATAGTCTTATAAAAGCTCTCATGTGTAATGCATTTCATACCTTGGACGAATCTAAAAATATATCACGGAAAAAATAGTTTATTGCTTTTATTATTATATAGTTACTCAAGTATTCCATTGTTATGCTTTGACTGTCTGTATTTTTAGAACAGAGTTCAATGATTGTAGTCTTTTAGCATTTAAATTCACTGATTATGTCTTACTAAGATCCATTAGTGAGATCTATTTATATCATTAAATTAGTTAACCAAACTTACATAATATTTAACTTTCAACAGTATGATAATTCTACATTAGACAGCTAAATATAAAATTCTAATAATATTTGAGGAGACATGAATGACAAATTATACGTTTGAATTTCCATCATAAATGTTGAATAATTTATAAATTGATAAACTCTTCATAAATGATGCTTTCTAGCCCTTCATTAAATAATTTTAAAATAGAAAAAAAAAAAACAAAACAATTTTTTTCTAAATAATATTTTTGCTTTACTTTCAACAAACCTGTTGGTCTTTAGCTGATAATAAATTTATTCAGGAACTAAGTGTAAAACATGAACTTTTATTTGGATGTATTTGAGAATTCGGGAGAAAAAAATTATAAAAACAAAAAAAAATATGCATAATTATTGTAGAGCAATAAAAAACTAATTCTTTCGGATTGGGGGTCGCCCAAGAAATAGTCATGTATTACGTCTAGACTCTAGACTCACCTTTAGACTTGATCAATATTACGTATTTGCACACATCAAGGTTAATATACAATATGAAAAAATTAACATAAACTCAAATAATTCAAATTCAACCAGAATCATCATGATGGTGTGGATTTAATTAAAAAAATTTCCAATTAATCTTCACACTCAAATGTCATTTTTTTTTGTTAATTTATTACCCTAAATTTTTTTAATAAGGAAATTTTGTTATAAAGTTATTATTTAATTAGATAAATTTATTGTATAAGGATTTTCATTTTATCAAGTATCAAAACTTACTAATTAGTTTTTAAATTTTTACTTACATTTGTTTTTCTTTTTCTTTTAAAGTTATCTTAACTTAATCTCGACTACATTCTTTCATTTATTCCACTTTACACTTGGAAAGTCCAAACTCCGGCCAGTGACACTTGGAGAACTTCGAAAATGCTAAAAAAAAGAAAAGAAATGTGCGTTGTCTCGCTGATGACGTCTTGAAACACGTGTAAAGTCAAGGAGGTTCCTTCTTTCTCTTCTTCGCCAAAAACGTTGTAAAAAAGTTTGGGAAGAACCGACATTTTTTTTTAAAAAAGGCCAAATCTAAAATAGTCAACAAATGACACACCTTTATAGTAATGAAACATTCAATAATTTAACATTGAAATACTCGGCAATTAACAGAATGCAATGATTCTTAAAAAATTTTTAGTGATCATCATAACCAACAAAAGTGAAAAAATGCTCCAAAAATAATTTCCAAGTATTTCTGTAATAAAACTTTATTATTTGAATGATAAAAATGTAATCATTAAATTTACTCATTAGACTTTAAATAATACTATTGATTATCACTTTAATATTCAAACGATACCTTTCACTGCAATAAACTTTCATTTAATCAGCCAATATCGACATCTCCAAGTACAAGAGCATGTACTACAAGGTCAACAAGGTGTTGTAGTTCTCTCCTTGTCTCTATGTTTATACTTGACTTTTTGCATAAAAAATGACTGAATTCCCCTTGATGTGATTCCCATCATCAACATCAACTAATCACAGGAAAACACTACTAAAAGACGTCATAGTTCTGAGAAGAAGCATAAAAGTTTTTAAGAGTTAAAAATTTTAAGACGTAACAGTAGTGTGAATTAATTTAGTTCAAGGTAAAGTAATGAGATAAATTTTTTATTCTTTGTTTCGAATAATTGATCCAATTGCCTCTATTTCAATTATTTGACATACTTAACATTGACAATGAACTTAAATAAAGTCATTTAAATTATTAAAACTGTCGATTAATACTTCTTTTGTCCATTCTATAACACAAATGGGTAATTATCAAGATCACGTGATGTTTCTCTCCATCTTCACAATAACTGTTCATAGTTAAATTAAATTAATCACAAGTACTTTTGATTCACCCTAATTGGCGTATGAAACATTATAAATATCAATAAAAAGCTGCTATTGCTTATGATGATGATAACAAAAAGACTGAATCCCGCGTCTGGAGTCGATCAGTTCCGAACACGATCGAAGTTCAACGAAGCCAGCGACTATAAAAGCGTTTACAGAAATGCTATTCAATCATTCGAGTTTCATATCTGAAAAGATCAAATACTCGAAAACGCTTGTTACAAAATACTTCTCAAGTTCAACCACATTGTATAATAAAAAGTGACCACAGTGTTAGTGCTTGGAAAAAGTTGTAAACAGTTTTTCACGTTGGTATAACGTAAATCACAATAAACAAATCAAGATGTACACCAATCCTTTCAACCGAAAGCACAGCACCATCCGCCAAATGTTGGATCGACTTTTGGACCCAACAAAAAGACCGATAAGACGCTCAGAGAGTGTCAGCAGCTCTGGAAGTAGCAGTTCCAAGGAAAGCTCATTTGGATCTTCCAATCGCTACCGAGGAGTTCTTCACTGGTCAAGAAAATGATTCCCATCAGCAGCTGATTCTCTGAAGGCTTTTAATTATCTTGACGGACATTCGAGATGACTTCATTTTCTCACTTATCAATGATATTTATGTTGGAATCAAATTTATCTAAGAGAAAATGCTATTTTCGAATCCTCAACTTCAACAAGTACATCATCTAGATGCTTGATGAACGTGCAAGTAGCTGCAAATCGATAGATTACACAGTTCCAAACGGTTTCTACCATTTGAATTGGATGTCTAAATACAACGGACATGGATAGAATCTGCTTCCTGTGGCTTGCAAAATTCAACTCATCATGCTGTCTAAACAAAATGATTACTTACTATATGTATATCAATTGTTTGATTGGACCATCTTTCTGTAAATCAATGGAACCATTTTAATTTAATGTCAATAGTCATAGCTTGAGTTGCTCAATTTCCTAGTCAATAAATCAGTATTAGATCAAATGATTACTTTGATTAGAAGCAATTAAAGAAATAAAAATGTCTTCCTTAAGAATTATCATGATTGATTATTATTTATTGATTTTTAAATTATTTATTAACCCATGTCAATTAAGATAACTAATGAAATAGTATTTTAAAAACATGAATGAATCAATAAATTATTTGTGAACAAAAATATACAAATGTTTTGATTATTTATCCATAAGAAATACCTATCCATATAAACTTTACTTCAGAAACTTTGATTTTGTATAACATTACTATTTCCTAAAGTTTAAAATAATTTTTTTCTGCTTACTGCTATTTTTAGAATGTAATCAGTAATTTTTGATAAACTTTTATCACCAAAGTATTTAGTGTTGACAAATGTGATAAAATTTTTCGTTTTGTAACACGTGTCATTGTCTTACAGCTTATTGTCGGAAGTCTTTTCTATTAGTTAAAGAGTTAAATACTTATGTATGAGAGAGTACATATATTGATCTATAAATTATGATAACATTTCAAATATAAATTACTATAAGACGCCATCTTCGTAAATATTGACTGTCTACAGCTATATATTTGACCTCTTTTATCAAACAATAAACGTAATAATACTTAACAGGATATTTTTATAAAAGAAAATTTAATAGAGTGCGAATTATGTGTTATTAAATTTTTTTTTTTCAAGTATATACTTTCATTTTTCTTTATTTTTTTTTCTTCAATAAGTGATAAGCACTTTTAGTGTAATTTTTTTTACCATTTCTATCTTTGAACTGTTCGCACGATGAACACGTGCTTCACACAACGTGACAATTATCATCTATAACGAGTAGATTTTTTGAAATTTTATGTCTAGTAATCGTGTCGATAAGTTGTAAAAGTTTCAATGCAAAAAGAAATAAATAAAAAAGAATAATGAAAAAAAAAATATAATATTATCGACTTTTTATTAATATTTATAAATTATCTTAGTAAATAATAATTGTGAAATGTGGGAAGCATTGCAGATTTATATTTCTATATTTAAAAATTTTATATTTAATCTCCAGTCATAATAAATATTGAATTTTGTGATAAGTGAGATATGATCCATTGAATAAACTGCAATTTCATTTAGTATTTTATATTAGAAATTTTTCAAACAAAATTACACAATGATGACCTCTTTATAAATTGAATTTTATAAATATTGAGATTAGATTTTTTTCATCATTTTCTAGATTCCAACACTCTTATCTATTCCTTGAAAATTTTTATATTATGAAATAATGCCATATTGATTACCTGTGTCATAAAAAAATTTAGAATTCACATTGGTGAAGAAGAAAGGAGCTTTTTCTGTTGGACATAAAATTTTTTCCATTATTCTTCTGGGTATTCCATCACTACTTTTATTGCCAACTGGTTCAAGCATATTATTCCATAATAAATTGGCAGCTATAATAAAAAAGAAATGAATAATTAATCAATTCATTCTAAATAAATCAGCTTAAAGAATCATCTCTTAATAGAAAAGTTAAAAAAAGATTATTAAGAGTATATAATTTCATTAAGAACATATGAGAGTGATAATAAATAAATTCATGATTTATAAAACATGAACATGCATAGTTTAAACTAGTTATTCAATCGCACTAGCAAAAATTATATGGGTGGAAGGTAATTTCCTATGACGATGTAAAATTACAATAACGTGGAAATCAATGATGAAAAAAGCTTCAAATGATTTACGTCAATCCGACATTTAACTTTTTATGTATTGAAATATAAGTGAAATAGAAACGTTATTATTGTATAACTTAATTTTTTTCCTTTATTTATCACATTGTTATTGATAATGACCGAATGATGATCTCCAGACATTAGTAAATTTATCTGCATGTCATGTACTGTCTTGTCATTAATTAATAATCAATGAATTTTAAAATCATAATCATATTTATTATCACCAGAATGTACAATTGATTTGTCAGCATTCTCGTTTTCTCAGTTTCATTTAAATATTTTAATAGTTATTATTTCCTTTTTTATATACTGTCTGGAATTTTATCCATAAATGATCTTTAAATATTAATATCATTTCCTTACCAAGAGCATGGCCTTTCTGACTGAAATGAAAACAGTCATATGTTACCATATTTGGATCAAGAGGTGGGGCACTCAATGGATCAGCATTTGGAGCATTAAATATTGTTATAAATGGCTGAAGTACAACGGTAAAATCTGAAGAATCGTCATATCTATGAAAGAAAGTGAAAAAAAAATTAAAATAATGTTAACAAAGAAGGTTGAAGTTGAAATAAGCATTGGATCAATATGAATATTGATTCGGATTTATTGAATTTTTTCATTAACTGAATGTTAATATTTACTCCATTATAAAATGATTGATGAAGAAAAAAGACGTCACAGTTTACAAGAATAGTATAAAAAGTCAACAAAACCGATTCATTACATATCATTATTTTTTAGCATTCATTACTGTTCATCAATGGACTAATAAGCAGATATTAAAAAATGTAAGTTTTTTTCTTTTTATTCTGCGAAATGGATTTTCCAATGAATTGAAACTTAAGTAATTACATGTCAGTTTCAGTAGTAATAAAATTTTTTTTTACCTTCCTGAAGAAATTAAAGATTTTATTGCATTCTGATACGACCGAGATGCTTTTGATGCTTCCATTTCTGGATTTTGTCCTTGATGTAGACAAGCACAATACAGCGGATGTAATATATTACACATTGTACTTCGAGGTACTCTCACAGACACTGTGACATCTGCAAAAAAAATTCAACAGCAGTAATATAAATGAGATCAAGTGTTTAGAGAAAGAAAATGAAAAATAAAACTAACCAATTGTTGGTACTAAATTAACTAAAGTTTTTGGTAAATTAAATTTCAAATAATCTAAAGCTTTTCTTAAATATAATACATATTTAGAAGGTGAAAAAAGCTGAGAATTGTAACATTGTCCAGAACAAATATCGTTAGCTCCAAATAAAATAGTAACTAATTTCCAATGATTTTTTATATCGATATTTTTGTTATTTTTCATTCGACGCACCAGGATTTTTGCTTGATGTAAAGCATCTTCTGTTGCTGCTACTGGAAAAGCAACATTTAAACCTGCTTTTGATGAAATAAATTCACCAGTTCCAGTAGCGTAGCCCGTTAGATTTTTATTAAATTCCTACAAAAAAAAATTATCATCAATATTACCATAGAATCAGTGACTATCATTATAAATTTTTTTAGTAAAATAAATACTGTACTTTTAATAAATTAGGAAGAGTAAAAAATTGACGCCAATCACCCTGACCTCCGGCACACCAGCTTACTCCACGTGCTTCAATGAAAGTGCCAATAGCAAATTCTTCAAGAGCACCACTCGCAGCAACTAATGAATCTCCTAATCCTGCTACGACGTCAATGTCACCAGGACGTAGTCTATGAACACTATTCGGTGGTATTGGAGAACTGTAATTTACACGAATAAATTAAAATCCAATGAATTAATTGTTACCAGTCAATTGATATCTTACCGGCCTAGTCTTGTATCACATGGAAATGGCACATTTTGTGGTATACTTCTTTGTCTCCTAATTCCATCTCTAACTTTTGGATAAGAAATACCACTATTGTCTACTTCATTCTTGAATGAAAAAAATAAGTAATTAACATATGTTAATTTGAATTGAATTAAAGACATACTTAGATACTTTTAGGTCAAACAATGAATATAAAAATGTGATAGCTTTATTCATGACACGTTATTGGAGGACTTTCTTTTTTTTATTTGTATCCGATTTAATTATTTAAATTAAAAATTTAAATATAGTTATTCTTAATTATGATGGGTTAATATACCTTTCTTCTCCTAGCATAGATAATGTGATAATTCATATGAAAATTTATTTTTATGTTTTTTTTAATATATGCTTACCCTTCCAACTACAAATAGACTTCTCAAAGATCTCATGAATGACCATTCTTGTGATAGAACATTAGAGATTATAAATATAACCATTAGAAATTTATTTATCAATAACCAATGGAAGAATTTCATCCTTAACTTTCTTTCATGCAAATTTTTACACTTCCTATGGACTGTCAAGAGTCAACAACGTATTTCTCCATCCTCGAATTACCTTCTTCAATAATTTTTCAAGTTTTACTATATCCTCATTTTGGTTATTTTTTCATTTCTTCAACTTCCATTGTAATCTGCAATTGTAATAATTATGATTAACTGCAAGAAGGATTATTATGTAAATAGAGTCATTTTCATATATTTATTTGTCAGTAACATTTTAGCTTTCTGTGTATTATAAAAATTTCGTCACTGATAAAATAGAGAAATTTGAAGATTTGTCTTACTGCGAATAATGTAACTGTATTTAGCAACGAAATTTGCCTTCAGGGGTCATTGGTTTATGATTCGATAGCTCAACACTATTACTTTCCCCTAAGGTCGAAGTTCCTGTATCCTATTAAGGCATAGAGAAAACAATCAGTCATACTTATTACTAATAAATAAACAATTTCTTCAATTACTAATATAAATGTAAATGTTTTCATTCTTTCAATTTTCTAGCTAAACAGTTAGTAAACAAAAATTTCTAATTACTAGTTATTGAAAAAAAAAAAAAAAATTATGAAGAAATTTTTTAAATAAAAAATTGAAAGAAAAAAATATTTATTAATTGAAAATAATAAAAAAAAGAATCTATTGATTTTAATTGATAAAAGTTGATACTTTTTATGAATTACTTACCTCATTGAAGTACTCTTTTTCTATTAAAGATGAATTTTTTTATCAAAATTTAATCACTGTTGTTGATGTTATACTTTTTGTATAAATAAATTGCAATTACTTGCAATAAAACAATTTTTTTCCTCCTGAAGACAGCATGTACAATGACAGTTGAGACCGAGAGTACCAAATAGTGTTGACGAGAATTGAACAAGTGTATGAATGAAGTTAAATAGAAAAAAGTGAAGAAGGTGTACTGCACACATATAATGTTTCTTACGACTCATCCCCTCCTTATACTAATCCTTTCGTTTATGTCTTCCCGTCTAACAATTTTTCCTGTCTCTCTTCCACTTCAGATACAGACATGTGATGCTTTACACAGTGAATACAAAAATGTATTGGCATCCTTTGAGACATGACACAGTGATACGTGAGTAAAAGTCAATTTTTTTGAATCTTTTTCTTTTTTTATTCTAAATTATTTTTTATTAATTCAATGTTTTCATTGCATCATCAAATGTTATGTAAAGATTGAATATACATAGGGTCTTTCACTTGTAGGACATGGAAGATTTTCACACTTTACCAAAAATGCGTCTTTTATATTTGCCGACGACATATTATGCTACTGTATGCGTATAATTAAATGGACTAGTAACTCAAAATCATCCATGTAACAGGTAGACTTTCTTTTTACATGGATTGAGTAATCCATCTTTTTGTCTTCAATTTTTTTTGTAACTGAAAGATAAATATTTTTGATAATATTTTGTCTAAAATTGAAAGTTTGTTTTATTCTAATGGGTAAAAGTGGAAAAAATGTTTATGGTAATAAAGCGTGAGTAAATGTTTAGAGTAGTACATTTGACGCTGAATAATTTAATGCAGCATAAAAAAGATATAGGTTAAAATAAAAGAAAAAAGTTCCTTACTTGTAAAAAAGAATCCTTAAATTTTTATATCAATGTAATAGGATTATTAAATGGTCAAGGATAACAGGTGCATCATTTTAATTGACGTATGGCACAAGGTAAAACAAGGTAAAAACAATTACTACAGAGGTATTAAATATTTTGATTGTGTCAATCTGGTAATTTATGTCATAGTTGAAACTTTCCATGACTAGTTGAAATTATTTAAAACCTCAAACTTTGCAGAGTTGTTTGAATTAATTTGCTACTTTAATCGTTTTATTCTTTCTAAATTTGTTTTTTAATGAAAATCTAATTCATTTGTATAAATTTGAAATGACGTAAAATTGTAGGGTTTGTTAGTAAATAATTTTAGGTACTTTTGCTTTTAATAAGTAGAACAAAGAACAATCCTAAGTTCTCAATTTAAAAATAATCTAGAATTTTTATCAATTATAATTATTTTTTAATTAATTTATTAAAATAACGCTGATTGAAATTTCGTTCAATTTTTCAGTTGATTGAATGGAGGGTTAGAAGATCAATATTTTTATCTTACAATGAAAACTACTGTATCAACCTCCGAAACTTGTGATTTCTGCCACAATTTGGATAAGGTAAGTTTGGAAATTGTTTTATCTATGTGAAATATTTTTCTAAAGACTTATCAGGCGCTGAACAAGAAGAACTGATTATCTTTATCGATAACTCTTATTGAAATTGTTTTGAATCAGGCAAGCTACCAAAAACAATACTCAGTGAATTACAAGACTTGGTTTCGAAGCTTTTAAAAGCTAATTACTTTATTCTATTACGCTTTATTAGTAAATTTTTCACAAACTACAAATTCTGATTTAAATTATTATTGACTAATATTTTTTTTATTATAAATGCAATAAGAAATTGATTACATTTTCAAAAGTTCCAGTATTAAATTTTAGAAACCATTTTCTTTATCATCTTTATCAAATGCATTATCATCTTCATGAAGAACAAATTAAATTCAATAAAATGTAAGATTACATTATACTTTATAACAAACTTTTGTAGTTCTTAACTTTAAAACAAAATCTTTTTGAAGGTTAGCTGTTCTAAGACTGTGTGTAAAACAGTTGAAGTGATAAATGATATTTTTTTTTCTTTTATTCTTACTGTTCGTAAATTAATTACAACACTATCACTTCTGATAATGAATTGATTTTACAGAGATTACTACTGAAGTAAAACTCTACTCTATCTCCTTCTATCAATTTCTGAAACGTCCGACACCATTACTTGTATCTACTCCATGTAAAGTTTCATTGAACTTTTATTATCTTTAACTTTTAATTAAGAAAGCTTTTTATAAGTTGATGAAATTTAGTTATAAACCAGCCTCATTTTTCTAATTTAAACATTTAATTTTATACCAACTAATGTTGATTTAACACTTGATTGTTTCATTTAATTTCCAGTTTTATAACTTCATTAAATGCTTTGCAAGTACTTTATTTATCATTTTTTTTTTAATTTGTCTCACGAAACAGTTATGATGAATGATAGCAATAAAGAGATCAACATATTCTTACAAGATATGATATGATAAACTGAAAAAAAATTACAGATCACGTCTTTAGCAGATGTCCCAATTCTATATTTCATTGCTTGGAGCAAATTGTTTTTATTTTTTTTTATGTCTCTCCATAAAAACGTTGACCATCACGCACACTGGAATGAAAGACTGAATGCTGATGAATAACTGAGAGAAAAATAATTGAAATAAATACTAAATGTATGAATACACAGTTTTGATATATTGGCATTTTTGACCTCTTTGATCTTTGAATATGTATTTATGCATATAAATCGTGATATCGTTTATCACTTATCAACATCTACTCATGTGCAATGAGAGCTTATCAAGTTATGAAGTTAATAGACACTCTCACAGTGATCACAATAGAGTGACATATGAAGTGACAAAGAAAATGTAGGTATTACTGGAGAAATTTATTAACCACAAGGATTAGTGGAGATTTATTTAATTAAAAATTCTTTTAAATAAAACAATAATTGAATAAACACTTGAAGTAATAGAACAATATTGATGGAATATAGAAAAATAAATAAAAGAAACTTTATGATGTTCATAAATTTTAAAAGCACATTTAGAATGTTTTTTGTATTAAAAAGAATTTATACACAATGTAAAAATAATAAGAATAGATTGTTCTGAACGATAGAAAAATGTAAAACATTTAAATTCATAGGACGTAGATAGAGTCCATAAATTTCAGATTGATCGTTATCTCATTCATAAAAGCTTGAATAAGACAAGTGAAAAGTACTATTGAAAATATATTCATCGTCAATATTCTAATTTTCGCCCATTAAAAAGATAATAGCTTAAGCTAAATTGATGTTTTTGTAGAAATTTATTTGCTCAACTTTTTTTAAACTCAAGTATTGTACATTATTCACTCATTTGCTTAGAGTCAGAAGAATTGCATAAAAGTAAAGAATGTTCATCAATTTATCTATAATCTATGTTTTTATGGTACTGTAAAATATTTATTAATTTTTGAAAATTTATGTTTCAGTTCAAAACGTAATTAAATTGTCAATATATCATGAAGAATCTCTACCATCAGCATTGGTAAGTTTTAACTTAGCACTTTAATTTTATTCTATCAAAAAAGGTAATACTGAAACCTTTTTTTTTTGAAATCTATTTCTAGTATTTTGTCTGTATTTTACTGTCACATCTTTCCTATCGAATGATAAATTTACTCACGGGAAATTAAAAGGCGAACTTTTGAGCGAGGTGATAATGTAAATAAATGAGAGAAATGGAAGCAAGTTAAATCTACTACATCCTTTCTAATTCCTACAATATATACGTGAAGTGTAATTTTGCATCTAGCGAGAGCACTTAGTTTAAGATAAGGAGAACTTAAAAAATTAATATCTTATATTCATAATTACGCTTAGCTACACTTATCAGGCTTGAGTAAATATTGATGACGAGAGTGGATGTGGAGCAAAATCCCCATGAAAGGAAGTAGATACTTGTTATGTGGGGTAGACTGAAATTCACGTAATTATTTATTATATTAGTTTACATACATGAACACTCATCTTATATTAAATAACTTTAGTCATTAAAAATTTTTATTTAAATTTGCAAATGAAATGTCAATATCTTCAACCAACATTCAACATCTTTAATATCTTATTTTTGATGTGACAGTAATGACTTATACACTAATTATGAAGATAAAGATCAATAAATTTCCTCAAAAAGTTCCTCAGTTACTCAGTAGCTGAAAAGTTTAGTGAATTTATGATGAATTCTGTCTCCATATGCAAATAGAAAAGATGTAAATATTAATATTAAGCAGATATTTGAATTTCGTCGTTAGAAGTTAGACAAAATACTCCACATATTCATCTAAACTTTGACGTATGATAATTACTGTAAGTAGAATATTTAACTTGAAAATCATCTATTATAATTTGCTCTCCAAACTCAAATTAGGAAAATTCGCTGAGAATTAGTGCGTTTCCACTTATTTTTCACGTCAAGTATACTGTGTTCATTTAATTAGTGACATAATAAACTAGTTACGAGAAATGAGTTTAGACCTATTAATTCACAATGATTTTCATTCATTTAAGTTCAGAGAGTTGGAGTAAATGTATAACTATTCAGGTTAATTTTCCAGACCATTGGAAAAGAAATTCATAATTTCATTTCAACTCTATAATTTTATTTTAAAAATCGATATAACAGATTGTTGATTTTTTATCGTCGTATTTAAATATTTTGCTGGATATGTTGTTTCTCTCTGTTGACAATAAAAAATTTATCATTTCATTTTGTAGAATTTTCCCATGTTGGTTATAAACCAAAGCAATGGAAAATTTACCTTTTTTGATCAATCAGATAGAGTCTATCTACCATTCACAATTTTTGTTTGTGAACTTTTGATGAAAAAATGGAATCTGCAAAATTTTTTTTATTTTTTTCAATAGCTTTGAAGCGTTTGGATAAAATAAAAGGCAAAAGAAAATTGAATTAAAGGAGTGGTATAATTATATGGTGAAGTAGAAAGTTTTTTACAAAAAACAAAAAAAAACAAAGTTGAATTTGTATGAATAATTTCTCTTGATCTTTACCAATTATTGGTCTGGATGAGAGGAATTTAAGTAATCTTAAAAAATAACCTCACTGTTTAGCAACAATCTAATTATGTTTATATTCTGGCATTTAATGTGACAGTTTGGAACTATCAAGTGGCTTTTCGCTGTTAAAGGTTTCGCCAAACTGTTTATCAAACATTTATTGCATAACTGAACATCAGTGCAATTATATCCAATATTCAATTTCAAACGATCAATTCCCAAGTGCTGAACTAAATGGTGTAGTTCAAATATGGGTGATTTTTTTAAAATTAATTTTTCGATAAAAAATTTTTTTTGAAAAAAATGACATAATTCTGAGAATTCATCCAAGTCTATTCATGAAATGAGTTGGTGAAATTTCTAAAAGTTTGCAAAAAATCCGAAAAAACTGGAACAAATTTATTCCAGAAAGTTTCCCTCCAAAATTGTTTTATCATGAGAACATCTAAGCGAGGTACGTTGATAAATTTCTTTTTCCTTTTTTTTTTAATTTTCTCATACTTTAGAAAATAATTGATTGTTAATTACTTACTGTAAATTTTAATTTCAGGAGATGATACGGAGTAAAATGTATTCATAGTTTCATTAAAGCTGTTTTTAGTCACTGGAATTGGATAAGCTGAAAGTAAAACCAGGAGCAGCATAATGATCATACGTGTTCAACCACTCTGCCTGTTTCTTCACTGAATTATTTAAGAAAATTAGCATATGCTATTTACCTTTCTCCCGAGACCTTGTTATATCCCAAGAGCAGTTATTGTGAGTGATGGTTTGACCTTATACCACTAGTGACCGATAGTGACTTGTTTAACGTATAATCGATGAATATTCAATCCATGAGAGAATGAAAATGTTTATTTAAATCGCATTAGTCAATTTTACTCGAGAAATGCATTGATTGTTGGTAGAAAAAAAACCAGTTCTTTCAGTTATAATTATTCCATCATTTATTAAACAGTCATTTAGTTGAAAAAAAATATTTATTTACTGAATAAAAAATAAAATAACAAGTAAAAAGCAAAGATTTTAACATAATACAATTATTTGTCCGTATACACTTTAATTTGTTATTTCTTCAATCAATATTATTTGTAATTTTATTTAATCATCACCTTTGAGATCTTGATATAATTTCTGGTGATAAATGATACTCTAAGCGATATCTATGTCAATATCCATCAATACTTTTTTGTTTTTTTTTTTTTACATTTACATACATTATTATATATAATATACATTCTTACAAGTTTTTTAAAAAACAATCTCGCTAAGCGAGTGTTTTATGAGTATGTACAACCATTAACATTATTGCTATATTACATTTTATACATTTTCATTCGATCAACTGCTCTAATAACACTTTACGATTTAGCAATTCATGTCTTGACTTTGAACCCAGTAACGTGGATTTTCCACATTCTGGAATATTCGAATATCATTATAATCATGACTATTATTCCTGCTTTGGCATAGTTCCAACACACAGACATACTAAAGCATCAACTCTCCTGGACAAAGACATAATATACATAACATATGTATATATAGATCTCTGCAGTCAACTTTATCGTTATTCCTATTACACGTATTCTGATGTGTATATATATATATATTCATCAACCAGATTGATAATAACTTATGTGCAATTAATCTTATAGTTAAATTTGTTCAGTTTCAAAAAATATTATTAATTGTAATGGTGAAAATTATTGCTGAAATAATTAATATCATTGATTATTTCTCTTTCATTTCTAATCACAATTTAGTTTCATTGAAAAGCGTAGCTGAGACAGTCGATATTGATGATTTATGGATTGATGAAAAATTGGACAATTGTCAGGTATTATCACTGTTATCAAAGTTTACAGTACAAGCGTCTGTGGCACTTGGAGCACCAAAGCAATCATCACCTGTATGCCGTTCTCGTTTTCGCTACACAAACTGCGACGGTGTTTTCCAACATCCAGCACAACATGGCAAAGCACTTTTCAGGGTATCTTTGAATGCATCTCGAAAGTCACGATTGAAGTAGGCATAAATCAGTGGGTTTAGGGCGCTGTTGAAATAACCAATCCAGAATAGGACGGAGACGACTGCATCAGGACAGTCACATGCCTCACCACATAGTGCGGTTGTTAAATACCTGTAATATATTTCAATAGTCAGTTATTTTATAGATTATAAAAATATCTTCATCGATTAATGTGAATAGGGTAAATACACCAATAAATGTCCATCATCTAGAAGATTAATAAATTACTAAAGTTATGAAAGAATAACAATTTAAATTGATTGTATCTGTATAATAATTTTCTATCTTCCATCTTTATTTATTGGAGTATTTACCCTAATGATGGCAATGGAGTATATTTATTGAAATAAGTATGTGAAGTAATTGAAGATACTGAATCATTGTAATAAATGTCAATTATTTACTCTAAGTAAATGTAGTAATTATTGCTGAGATCATTTGAGAAATTTATTATTTTGTTTATTCCTATTACTTCCTTTTCTGAAGTTACTCACGAGTGTTGCCAAAACATCTTCAGTATAACTGTGAATCTCAATCTTGAGTTAATTTAATCTTCAATTTAGTTTATAATCAGATAACTAGATAAAGTTTAAAGTGAATAGTTTAATCTCAAGACACTATGCAACTCTAATTTGCTGCATTAAATGAAAAATAAGGATAATTGAAAATAAAAAAAATCTTGTTCAAGATTAATTATTCATAAAATTATCTACTTAATGATTTTAATTATCATAAATTTTTTAAGCTGCTTTAATTGTCATTGAAGAAGAATAGAGAGACATATCAGGTCATTGGACTCTCTATTCTATTTTTTTTTTATTACTCTGATCCTTAAATAAAATAAATGTGTTATAAAAAGAATTTATTAATTATGTAGCAACAATAGAGCATTGTCTCATTATTGAAATGCTTGCATAATTAATTTTAAAAAAAATGTAGTTAATATTTATGAGCTTAAACATAAAGATAGCATCATTGTCTCACGTTCTCTCGATCAATTATTGGTGTAGTTTTGGATAAAAATGCTTGTCATCACTGAACACATGAACAAAGAATACATTTAAAGTTGTACGTAATGTGCTTGTTGGTGTGTTCAATGCGAGCAAGCACTTTTATTCACAAAACACATCCATAGTAAGTTCAACAGACAGAAGAGAAATTTTTTTAAAAAACAAAAGCTGCAATTTAAGTTATTTTGTCAACGAATTATTCGTTGCTGTTGATTCATCAAATAATACGTTCCAATTTTTTGCATATAAAAAATCTCAAGTGCAAACAATTTGTGTTTATTCAAAGCTTTTCTGAATTGCATAATGGCAGCTTTAAGGTTGGTCTTGAAATGTGTGAAGTGAAAATGTAATCTATTGCATTGTATTATTTTGAATGATCGAACATGAGACATTGGAAGAATGTTTATCATTCATTTCTCAGTGATTCTGTAGTCAGATGTATTTACTTATGATACAGAAAAGGCAAAGAAACCAAGAAGCAGGACAGACAGAGAGATGTTGACAGGAATGAACGGATATAGAGGATGGAAATATGTAAATTGGCAGCCATCGAAGTGCAAATTTGATCCAATTATAGAGACGTACATGAATTAATTATTGGAAAGTTCCTGGTGGTAGATATTGGTTATCGATAGAAGTTAAATGAAACAAAACAATTTACTTGGAAAAAATTGTGGTACATTTCTGTCTTAGAGAAGACAAACTTTGTGTCAGAATAACATTACGTCATTTTCATGAATGTTGAGCATATAATGTTGATAAAACAAGTCATGGCATAAATACAACATCGTCAGTTAATAATAGTTGATTTTAATTATTTATTTTTCTTGGTTTCAATTTTATCGTCTGTTATTTTTTAATTTTTGGTGCTTACCAGAGAAAGAACGGAAGCCAACATAAAAGGAATGCTCCCATAATTATGCCCAAAGTTCTAGCTGCTTTGTGCTCAGCCCTCCAACTTTTTGTTTGTTGTCGTATCGTTGTACCTGGAACAATCAAAATTATGCTAATGTTAGTTAAAAGTGTGGCTGTAAATATTTTTTTTTCTCTGTAAAACTATTTTTAGTGAAAAAAGTGAATACATGGAAAGTGAATTGATATTTGTTTTTTGGATTGTTTAGTTATTTACAATTTTTATAAAAAAATTGGAATTCCTAAAAAGTTACTTCTTGAAAAAAAAAAAACCTAGTCAAGACGTGATAGGTGACGTGAAAGTTTTATCCACTGCTTGTAATTTAACTCAGAAAGTTGTGGAAAGAATATTTTCTTGTTCTATTTTCTTTATAAAAGAATAGAATACTATTGAAAGTTAAACTTTGCTATTAAATTCAAGCCGTACATCTTTCCAACTTGAGAGATGATCTTTTATGAGAAGAAAATGGTTTTTAAATATTCAAATAGTAGTGTAATAAATATCTATGGTATAAATATTGCATTCCTGAGACCATTATTAGAGGATATTATTTATGAAAATATTTTTAATTTGCAGATTTTTTAAGATAAAAATGTTTGGAAAAATTTCACTGCAACAACTCTTTTTTTTGTCCTTTGGGGATAGCAGCTAATTTAAAAATATCCAAAATATTTTAAGGATTTTCAAGGGATGCTTTTGGAATATTTTAGAGACACTTTTGGGATATTTACTATCTCAGAATCTTCAAATCAACTAAAATACTCTGAAAGTATTCCTAGAAGATTTGAAAAAAAAAATTCCAATTTACAACCAACTCAAGTGATAACTGAAAATTATTGCAATTCAAAGATTGTTGTAACTTTTACTCAGTTTTAGTTTAAATTTATCACCAATCTTTTTTTCAAAAAGTACTTTTATCATTTAGAAGTTTTAACAGATCTGTTTACGATTTAGATTTGTTTTAGAATGATTTTTCTTTTTCTTGAAAACTTTCGAAATCTTAAACAACATTTAATACTTCAAAATTTATTGAATCAAAAAAAAAATAATGGATGCTTTCTTCATGGTATTTACTGTTCAATTAATTTGGTACTCATTCAGTTTAATCAAAAAAAAGCCAATAAAGCTAGATATAATTCAAACAACCCTCTTTAATATCTATCAGAGTAGCAATTGAAATCTGATTCTATTTTGGAGTACTAAACATAGTCCACTCAATTTTTGAGTTTCCTCGTTTGATATGACACTTACAAAAGAGTCCATTCAGGCTTAGAAGAGACAATAAGATCAGGACCATCAAGTTGTTAAGGTTATAATGAATATATTAATAAAATCATATTCTTGGATCAAGAATAATTCCATTCTTAATCATAATATTCTTACAGAATAATTTATGTACAACATAACATGAATGGAGTTAGATTAAGAACAGTATGGATCCAGGATGATAGCATGCTGTATCCATTCTGCCATCATTCATTTCATGTTGTACATGAATTATTATTTTATTTAAGAATGTCATTGTTGGAGATCAAGGCCATTTATTAATTATTTATGTAAAAAGCAGTTTTACGGTAGTAATAAGATAGTAACACCACTGTATATCATAAGTAAAAGTATATATGACCATATTTCATCGCTACTAAGGTATTTTAACCAAGCTATTTAATTTCAATGAACAAAACACGAGAAAAACGCGAAATATGTGGTTAAAAGATTGCGTGTTGGAATACACTTAAGTAAATTTAGGTTTGTTGGTCGTTTATTTTATCTACAAAAAATCAATATGATTATGTATAGATCATGCATAAGAGACAGTGGTAGAATGATAACGTCTTAGCTCAGTCATCATCAGTATTATGAAATTATATGAAGAATAAATAGAGTTAATAATTCACATTATTGATTTGACTTGCTGGCCTGATTGGAATAAATATCTATAGCCAATTATCACAACCTACTTGGCCTGTAGCCCTTGACCTTCCCTAAATTGAGGATTCTCTGTCTCAGAGTCTTTAGGTCAAGTGTCAAGAAACATTTTACTCGTGCACGATAGTTGATTATATGATTAATAAATTTATTTAATATTCTCATGTTCATGTCCACATGGCCAAAATTCAATAAATTTCAGAAAAGAGATTTTAATTTTTTTTTGTTATTAATATCATTATTGAATTGAAATAAATTATCATATTATTATCATCTCAGTATTTAATGATTTATACATATTAAACTACTTGCTTAATGACTACATTTACATAAATTTCATGAGTGGAAGATAAACAGAAAGTTGGTGGTGATAACAATAATATTGATTCATTTAAAACTCAGTAAGATATTCATTTATTTAATAAATTGAAGTCATTTCATTCAATTCAATTTATTAAAATAAATAAAAAATCATTAAGAATCTGTATGGGAAAGGTTCAGAAGCCATAATCATTTTGTATTATGGTACATTTGAAATACTTCCTTGGAAAATGAAATGAATAGAATTCTTTTTTTTATTCTATTACATTTCATTCTTTTAGAAAGCCACTATAGTTATTCTATAAGTATCAACTTTGCCTTCAAAACAATTTTACATATTTATGGAAATTTTTTTGCATAAAATTAAGAATGCTCGCTTATGACCACAGTATTAGCTCACTTAGTGGAGTAAAACTATTAATATTCAGAAAAAAAAATCTACTTTGACCAAAAGGAAACTTTATCCTGAATAGCAAGCAAGAAAATGTATGGATTATCTTCAGCATTTTTTATTTAAATGAAAAATTTAATAATGTAAGAAATGAATTCATCAAGAATAGTTCTTTTGTGTTGATGATTTTATTAAATTTCAACATGACACAACTTATTCTTTCACCTTCTAGAAATTTATCTCTTTAAAAAGTAACATTTATTTTAATAATAATAAAAATACTATTAATAATGAAATAATAATTCTCTCTCACATGTAAGTATTCCTAATTCATCACAAAGAAGTGCTAACTTACATATACTCCAAGTATAAAGATAATCTTTTTTAGCATTTTCCTTAAGGCGAAGGAAAAAAATTCCTAGAATTGAACCAATTGTAAGGTATTCCCTGCTAGCTTGCCACAGATAGAATGGGGAGAGAATGAAACTTATACAAGAAATGGTTCTCGGCTATTTCAGCATATCAGGTGACGAACTAACGTAGTTTTCTTCCGTTATACGTGTCAGCAGAAGCACGTTCCATCTCCGGTTAGATAAAAAGATATCCGTAATAAAAGAAGCTTTAAAAGTCGTAAAAAATAATGAAGCAGTTCGATTATATAAATAAAAATCTCTCGTAAATATTCACCCCTTTTTAGGATAATATTTCATGATATTTTTTGTCCAGCCTAAAATAAGGGAGACATTAATTCCAGGCGAATTGTCCCTTACAGTAATAATTTTATTTACGGTAAATGTTCGTAAATGTTCCCCTTCTCGACAGTTATCTAAATTTATGTTGATATAAAAAAAATATCTAATTATTTTAGTATTAATAAATTAAATAAAAAGTCTTAAGGTATTTTTTTTTATGTTATTAATCGCTTTCTTTTGCTACCGCTTACACGCAGTCTCATTTGTCCCGTATTCCTGTTTTCAGATATCGAGCGTACTAGAGAGGGCAAGAGAACACTCTGGGTGTTCCCATTGGAGCCTGGATCTCGCGTTCACTGACCTACCTTAACAGAGCCCCGTGTATCCTACTACCCTCAACACTTCTCTCTCTCTCTCTCTCTTTCTCTATAGGCGAATCCAACACTAGGTAAATATAAAATCAATCCCTTCATTTCCTTTTACACCATGTCTCATTGTCAGACCTGTGACACCATCAAAATTACGACCATTCAATTTTCTCGGTTCATTCGCCCAGCATGATGATAATTAATTTTATCACGTCAGTTGTGTAGTCAATCAGGATAGGATAATTTATTGATAAAAAATTATTCTATTGTCATTTAAATGTTTGTGTAATTAAATGATAATTTTAGTTACAATGAAAAAATATAACTTGCCAACAAGTTAATCTAGGTTTGAAATGATATGAGATTTAATTAGGTATTTTTTGTCAGTCATTACATGGTACTTTTGTAAAAATGTTCTTTCACTTGACATATCATACAGGTTTTATTATACCAACATTTTTGTAACGAAACTTGGTAAAAATATTTTATATTTTTGGTTGTAAAGTAAAAAGAAAGAAAGTTGCTTTGACAATCATCTCATTGAAGTTTGTTCGACGTATAAATCAACTGTCTCTTTTAAATTATATGTAACAAAACTCTAAAAGCGTTGAAATGTTTGTTTCAACATGCAGTGTCATTCTTTTTTCACTTGAAAGAAAGCACTCACAGAGAAGAGATGAAAAAAACGTTTTTGATAAGTTTACGACAATCCCCTTAGGCGAATATTCGTCTCGAGAGATAAAACCAAACTTTTCATGACAATTTTATGAACATTTTTTAATTACGATCTTTAGTTTTAGTGTAGAGATTCATAAAATGTATCAACTTGAAATAAAATGAATGATGATTATTAAAAGTAACCCAAAAAGTTTTTAACATACATTTTTTTTTTTTGGGAAAGTTAATCAATTAATTTTGTGATGGAATAAAAGCAAAAGTTAGCAGACAAGTAACTTGTGATGATGAATATCTAAAAATAGTTCTTCTAGAATTAAATAGTAATAATACTAAACAGTTGATTATTTATTAATTGCATTTTTAATGCAAATATATACGAAAGTATAAGTAGAAAATGAATTGTATTGATGAATTAATATTGTAGAATATTGAAAAGTTTTAGTGTTACCCATAGTAGTTAATAATTATCCAGTCTTAACCCAATTCAATATAATTCCACGGAGTCATGTTTTTCTATTCATCATTTTAAATTTTTAATCTAAAGTAAAAGCTGAATCTATTAATTAACCATCAATTCTGGCATGTAAAATATTAATTTCTTCCAGAAAGTAAAATATGTTTTATCACCAGCTAACGAATGCTTGTGACTTCATTTACATGGTATTAATTTTAATGATGACAGCAGAAAATCAAGTAATTAATAGTGACACTGGACCTGATTTATATAAAAAAGCTTATATATTTATCTAGACCCTCCTGATGAATCATGATCTCTACTTTAAATGAAATTGCATAGTCTGGACAATCCAAGCTATCATCTTGGATCTACTCAGCCGATTGAAATAAAACTTAGCTACATTTTCAAGTCAGAACTCTAGTTATACAATCAAATAAATTTTCTAGATAAAATGTATTTACTGTTCACTTTTAGCTCTTTCTACTGCTTCATTCTATGGATGATTAATCTTGTTAATCATCATATAAGTCTTCACCAGGAATACTATATGTTTCTCAATTTGTTTAATTTAGCTGAAATGGTTATGAAAGGTTCAGAATGTATTTTGAAGTGAATATTCACCCTGAGGGATGCTACGTGAATTTATTAGAAAGCTTTTTTACACAAGCACTGTATGTTATGGCATCACTGAGACAAGATTTCATAGCAGTTAGCAAAGTTTGTTGTTGATGGCAATGAACAAGCTGTGTATGTTTAAATGTGATGAGTAATTGTTTAATTTTGAGAACGGTAGATTCGAAAATTTTTAAATAAATATTTATTTATTTATTTTACTTTTATTTTAATGTTTACTGGTGGCTTATAAATCATGTCACACCACCAAATCAATTTCGGAGGAATAAAAAATTTGATTGATTAGCCAATCCTTTCTAAAAAAAAAAAAGAAATAAATAGCAGAAAAAAAATAATAATTTATCATCAAAAGATCATTTTAATTGAAAATGAATTGCAAAATGGTAATCTGCAAGCACACAATTTGTATGAGACATTTTAAGTATAAAAAAAGCAACAACAATTATCCCAGTAAAATTAAAAATAACAACTATTAATTTCGAATGTCATGTATTTTTATCTACACATCAAGTGTCATTAAATGCGATAAATAATTTTCAACGAATGTACGAATGTTATAAAAAAAATTGGAAAACCATATTTAAAGTTGGGTTGAACATCAAGCCAAACATTGAAATGAGAAAGAGAGAATTCAATTATTGTGAAACAGAAACTGTATGTGAAATCACAATAGCGAGAACATAGCAGTTTTTGGCAGCTGTTTCCAAGTACTAGAGAACGAGGCTTGTGATTTGTGAATACTTGCAAATAACTCGAGTTATAGCAAGCACTACACCTTGCTACCCACGCATACTTGTTAGAAAATTGTGCGACCGAACGTCATTTATCTTGACGTTTTCACGTGTAGATACAGATGCGCAAATGTGCTGAGAGATATACAGTTTAAATACCGTTGCAAACGTTTTGCAATTTACAAATGCGATTGAGGACATTCAGTCGTCAAGTAATATCGTAATACTGCCAAAACTTTATATCTGCAATGTTAGTGGTAGTATAATAGCTATAACAAGCTTTGTTATAGTATTCAATTGTCATGATAACTGTTGAATGTCCATTCATTCTTACAGAATAGTGATGACCAATTATTCACAAAACTGTCATTAATCAACTCCACCGTAATTATAATTTTTAATCTCACCATTTTCAGCGTTGAGCTCAACTGCTGTATTACACGATGTTCGCCGGAAATCATCACTAGGATGTAGGAGAAGTTGATGAGAAGTCCGTGAGTGATGTCTGGATGTTGAAACTCGGTGTAAATGAACACTGTTTAATACAGTATTGCTTGAAGCACGACTCAGTGCTTCTCTTTGTCTTATTGCCTCTTTGTAAATTTTGCAGTACATAACAATCATGACAAGACCAGGAACCCAGAATGATACTGAAGAGCTTATCAATGCATATGGTCGATTAACCACGAAGACGCAGACCTATTAAAGGAGTTTATTGTTCTTGTCATCATTTAATCATTAGTAAGAAGAAGAAGAAGAAAAAGAAGTTGATGATAAAAATATGAAAAAAGATGATAAATCTTTTGATTTTAAGTTCACGTATAAAACTTTAATGATTTTTGAAAAAATAATTGACAGTGATTAAAAGAACATTGGCGGTGTGGATTCTAGTTTGATGGACGAGAAAGCAAAAAAAATTAATGATCATTTTCGTGATGTATTTCTTTTCCGGGTTTGACGCGTTTTTATTGTTCTTCATCCAAAAGTCAATTGTGGAAAAAAAAGTCAAGTCGATCACGGTAGATTTCTGACGATGAAGAACCGATGTAGGTCACTTTCTATATAGATATCATCAACATTACTTGATACGGAGACATGAAGAAGCAACGATCGATTCACAATTCAACCGTTTTGCTTCTTCTTCTCCTTTATATGTTTTTGCGTTGTCTCATATCAAAGCAACTCGGTCATCGATTCTTCGTCGTCTAAGACACGTGCTTTCTCCAAAGAGAAATGTTAAAATTTACCTCAGGATGTTGATGAAGATAGTCCAAATGATCAGATGTGGTGTACCAATCCATGAAGATTGGTATAAAACTAATGAATGCTGGCAATAGCCAAGCACTAGTCAGCATAGCTGTCACTGTTACATCTCTCATAATAACTGGATACTCTAGAGGACGTACTATTGCGTAGTATCGGTCAACGCTGATACAGCAAAGATGTAAAATAGAGGCAGTGGAGAAATAGACATCAAATGAATTCCATACGTTGCACATGAATCTACCAAAAAGCCATCGACCTCCTGATAACTCCACTGAAGCATTGAAGGTCATGGCACACACAGCAACTAGAAAATCAGCTGCTGCTAAACTCACGACATAACGATTTGTTGGCACTCGAAGCTTGCGATGACGTCGAACACTGGCAATCACTAATGCATTACCCAGTAGAGCTGTGATTATTATTCCAATCATCAAGATACCTTTGAGGACTAGTATGAGAATGCTTTGATGATTTAATTTTTCTGAAACTTTATCTTCTTGATCAATCACTTGGCTCACGAGAGTTGTGTCTAAATAGCTGACTATGTCATTTGGATCAACAGAAAAGGTACTCCCATCACTAAGGTGCACCTCTTCAATTGGCACTTCACTTTGTAGCTCCATACCAAACTTCTGATCTATTTTGCTGACAGTACTTTATCATAAGTTTCTTCTTTCTTGCACCTCCCAGCATCCTCCGGGAATACGTTACCACCCGGGACATTGCTTTGGGAGTGGATTTAAATAAACTTACTAGTTTTAAATACAAAGGGATGATCTCCATGGGGTTTCTTAAAATAAACCAAATGTAATTGTTTTTTATTTTTATTCTGATCTTACTGTAGAAATTACAGCACACTATTACATCAACACTCTTCGACGACAATAAATATATCTCTTGTTCTTGAATGAATTCAAGTGATTTGTCTTGCTTTTCACGATGCAAATGAAACTCTCTGACAAGTTTATTTTATTCTGCTTTGATGAACTTTCTCTCAACACTAAAACTGTTTGTACCACTTGAATTAAGTCTGATAACTTTCCTTTTTTCTTCTCTTTATCATTTTGCTTAAAACAATAGGGTTATTCTTATTTATTTATGTGAGAATGGTATGATATGAATTAGATAGAAACTATCCAATTGTTTTAAGAGTTTCTCTTTTTTACATTACATTGTGATTCATTCTTCATTTCACAATTAACTTTACTTTTCCACTTCATATTGATTACATACTTTTTTTCTTCATATTTTGATGAGTATCACTTGAAGTTCCAACTTGAGGATGGTTATGAATGAATTATTAACTTATGCTTGCTGATTGATCATTCATCTCTAGAATTCATTGCTTTGTAATTCAGCTACCAAGATTAATAACGCTTATTACACTTATGACAATTACGATGATTGCCTTGTCAGCAACTGGCTATTTGTTGAGAGCTTATTATTTACGATGAAAAAACAAAATTATTTAAACACTGTCATAGCAATCTTGCAACTCAATAAAAACACAAATATTCAATATGACCTTCATTGTATTGAACTGCAGTGTTTCGACCTCGATTAAATATAATCATGAGATCGTTGGTTTGAAAACAAGTTCAAAGGATTCAATGTCTTACCATGCCGGTACCTGCACGACCTTCTCACAAAAAACTATGGTAAAGAATTGTTGCAAAATGTATCTTTGTCTTTTTTTTTTTTTTCGTTAACTTCAAACCGTTTATATCCTAACTTTGGAATGATTACATGCACGTGAGCTCGAAAGGATGCTGGACAAATACCATTATTAGTGTTGCGAAAGGTGTAGGAATTCAGTGTAATTATGGAGAACCAATTTAAGTATTGACCAGTGTAGTGAAAATGTTGTATGAAAAAATTCAGGGAAAGTTTTTCTTATTTTTAAATTTTAATATGGAATTGAGGCTGAGTTTAATCATTAGCTGTCATTAAATTTTTTTTTTTTTTAGGCATAATATTAAACTGAGCATGAAAAATTGAAGTTAAAGTACCGTGTGATTAAGGTTGAAATAATAAAAGTACCTTCAGCATTTATTTTTAGTTACCAAATTATTATAAATAAAAAAAAATCCTTTTTAAATAGATTCAGGATTAAAGATTTCAACATATTTAACTCAATAGCATCAAAAATATTGAGGCATCAATTTTGTTATCTCTGATTAGCATAAAAAAATTTTGCTAAAAATCATTCTGAATATTTTAATTGATATTGAAGTTAACATCAGCATAGAATTGAGTGATTTTGATAATACTACATAAACTATGTAAAGTTTTAAATGATTTATCGATCCAAGTTGATTTACATTTTCTATAGAATACTTGACAGAATAAAAAAAAAAATAAAACAAGTATATTTTTCAGGTAGACTCTGATCTGGTCATCAATTTGCTGATTTACACTGAAACTTGTAATCTTCATTAGTGTCAACCTAGACGTACCATTAAAAATATCTTTGAAAGACAAAAAAGTGAGGAAGATTAAATGCAATTAGTATAACATTAAATTTTCCATCGCGTCATCTCTGACACTAGTCTTTTATTCAATTCTCGTTAATCATTTTTAATCTACTTTAATTATCGACTTCCGGAAATGAAGTATATACCTACAGCTTTCAACATATAGATATCATAATATACGTTATTGTATATAAAATAAAATTTACTCAAATGATGAAGGTAGTGGAGTAAAATGCTTTTAAAGAACATAAATGTCTCAATATCTCTATATAATCCATTCCAACCAAGTTCAAAAGGGTAAAATTAGCATAATTCAATATTTATAAAGCTGAATGTATCGTAGAAAATTCCAATATTGTAGTAAAGGTGAAAACAATAATCTCAGGGACAAGTGGTAGAAGTATGTGAAATTAAAAAATTGAAATTACGTAATCAACAATCGAGGCTAGCAATGAAGCATAACAGACAAATGGCAAAAATAAAATATCTTATTATTATTACGAATATATATATATATATATAGTGTATTGAAATATATATTTAAATATTTCTATAAATATGGAAATGAAAAATGATATGAAAATAATGGCAGGAGAATGAAGAGTGAGTCTATTTCGTGGAGATGAAAATCTCGACAGATACTGGAAGAGTACCTCTGGGTGATAATCATCGATATAATCTTGAAAATGACATACTTATTAATGTCTTCAGGCACATTGGATATTAATTCAGCAAATAATATTCAGTACTTAGATGATCAAATTTATTATTTTGATTAAATGATGCTTATTAAGAGATGATATTTTATTTTAAATTCTGAATCACGTGTGGGTAATCTCATCAGTATAACTGAAATGTTAAGGGTAGATGGAAGATAGGTGAGCAGTTCAAGTTTCAATCTAGTTTGAAGAACCAGATTTTACAATATCTAATAAAGTTTGTTCGTAATTTTGGGGTGATGTTTGAATATGTTTAAATAAATATTATTGGAGAAATGAATTATTATCTGTTTAAATAAAGCTTTTGTGATGATTAAATATTAATCAGAGTTAATTTAAATGTGGAATATTTAGTTTAGAGTGAGTTGAAATTGAATATTCATTGTTATTTAAATAATATTTTAAGTGTTAAATAATTATTGAGTTTTTTCTTCGTGTGGTTGATGAACTGTATACAATTCAACTGTAATAGAGATAATTATCGAAAAGAAATATTATGATTACATCTCAATTAAATGAAATTCATTGTAATAAAGTATTTTATATCAATGAATACATAATTTAATTAAAAGCGATATTTATTACAACGAGATATGTTTAAATATTTGTCTTTTGTTTCAATTTTAATCACTATTTGCACTTTTTTTTGTTAAACAATATATTTTTTTGTGTAACTAAAAAAAAAAAAAATTTAATCAACATGTAAACAAACAGGATTAAAACTTTGAAAACTAGCCATCCTTTCATCAACCCTCAAATGAAAAAAATTGGTTCTCTCAGATAATTAATAAGACTGAAAAACAGTAATTATTTTTACATGATAAAAGTATGAATTAATGTCACAGAATGGTAATAAGATTATTTTTAATTACTGAATAATTATGAAAGTAAACTGCAAATCACAAGATACATTAAGAGAAAGCGTTTTTATAAAGTCTAATCGATGATGTGTGACAGTAAAAGTCAAGTTCACGACAACAAATGAATGAGAGTGGATTTATCGAGCACACAGTCGAGTACGAACGTTGCCGGTAGACTGAGCGTCGCGACGTTTCACGGCGCCGTGGTTCTGGTGGTAAAGAGTAGGGCCTCACTTCAGTTGAAAAGCGCCGGTTCTCCCACACGAGACTCAATAAAACGAGCCTCAACTATTCAAAGAAAAAGAAAGAGAAAATAATAGTCTGCCATACACTCATATCAATCGACCGCATTATTAGTTCTTCTTCTTTAGTTCTTTCAAATATTTGATTCTCATCAGAATCCAGATTCAGTTCAACTTCAAGTGTGCTATTGTTCTTTAGAAAACTCGAGGGAAAAAAAATATCATCAAGGCATTTCGCTACCCAAAATATTGCGATTACTAGACTATTTGAGCGAATATTGATTTAAGTAGTGTCATGAATTTCTGTGTTTTGTTATGGGCATAAACGGAAATGGGGTAAAGCAAGTTCCTCACCTCTTATGTGTTGAGAGAATTTGAAAAAACAACTCCTTGACAATCAGACGAAAACTTGAAATAATTGCAGCACTTTTTTTTTGTGTAATAAAATTGGAATATTTACTCAATTTTTAATAATTTAGTGATTAATAAATATTTTATAATAATTTTTAATCAAATTTTTTTTGATATTATAATATTCTTGTTGACAATAAAAATAGATAAAGTAGGATAAAAAAAATTTGTTTAACATAGTTTATTTATATTTCCAATATTTAACACTTTTAATAAAATGTCACAATATTTTTTATAATCTTTCAATTCATTCAAATCACATATAATAATCAAAAAAAAAAAATTGCGAATTATTTATCACTATTGATAAAGGAATAAAAGGGGAATAAATTCAATGGCCTTGACAAGAAAAATATGTCACCAACATCAATAAAAAAATTATTTATTCAAAATCTCTCAAGAAAGACTTTCTTCTTAAATGTAACACAAAAAATCCTTTCTAAGCTCCTGAAAATTTATCACCATCAGCAAAATACTTATAAATAATATCAACAACAACAACAACAACAACAACAACAATATACGTAAATATAAGTTTGTATAATGATTAGAATTGAATAAGTTTTTAACAGGAATTTTATGAAAATATACGGAAGTCTTGTTATTTTATTGAAGAATAATACTTATCAAACTTGTAAGGGTTGAATATTTTATGATGCATGAAATAAATTGCCTTGAGTTTGAATTATTTTAATGCTCTGAAGTTTAAAGAGTCTGAACGAAAGTCATACAAATCCTCCGACTTACACTATAAAGTAGTAATAGCGATTATAGTCAGACGTGTTATGGTAGTTGTGAATATTTCTTAAAACTTGACGATAAAATATTTCGTAATTTACATCGAAATAGCAAATAATATTTTTATATTATCATATTAATGAATTTATTAATATATACATCCAATAATAAAGTTATAATTATTATTCACTAAGCTAATAATAATTTTACTTTGATATTTAATATAAAAGTGTTGTACAGCTGTTGTGAATAATAATTTCACTTTCATCATTTTTAGTCGTTGCGCTTTGTAGGTTCGGGCTTGGCGCACTAATTCTTAGGTGCGATCGATACGACTTTAGGAGTGTAGAAATAAGTACCGCGAGACGACCTTAGCCGTGGATAGAAAGCTCACGAGACCTAGAGTATGGAGAAGTAAGAGAAAGAAATTTATATATAAAGACACAGTTGGAAAAAAAAAGAAGACACAGTTGTATATAAGACTGTATTTGTTGTATCACTCGGAAGCATGGGTGAGCAGATTTCTCAACAAAATTCTCACAACCCCCCGGGCTTTAATGATAACAGAGAAATACTTTCAGGAAAGTGCTTGAGCATTGGGGTTGAAAATTAAATGCTCGAATACAAGGGTGTCTGGGATCGTTATATAAAAAAGGTAAAAGCGTATCCATAAGGGTATCCATACAACGTTGTGAAATTGTCATTTATAAAATATCTCACCTGCAAGTTAGATGTCTGTTTATTTAATAACCGAAGAAAAAAATCTATCACGGAAGGTTTTTTTTTTGGTTGTTGTTAAATATGTTCAGGGTGTAATTAAAATCAAATAATAGATAATTAGTGATGATTTTAATCCAATGTTGGGCCTATCATGCCCCAATATACAGCCTCGTTTTTCCCTATATTGAAAAAAATTTTTTGTTATGCCATCATGTCAATTGCAACAATTAATTCATTACGACTATTCAAAATTTTGATTTTATTAATTGCAAAAAAAATTAATTGTTCACAGTAAATTTTTTTTTAGTGTATTATAAATAATCAAAAATAGACTGAATTTTAGAATTATTGAAATTAAAATAAACTTCTGAAATCAATTTTAAAATAAAAATAAATTTTAATCCATTAAATTAATTCATTAATAGCATTAAAACCTTAAAATATTTTGAAATGATATTTTTAATCTGATTAAAAATTGATTATAACCCAAAATAAGTTACCTATTTCTAAACTCTTGTATAAATTATTTTCTATAAATATTATATTATGTAATATAATAAATTATTTTATTAAAGCATTGTGGCATGACTGTTTGATTTTTTTTCACGACTGAGTTAAGTTGATTCATAGCGTTCCGTCTCGAAACCGTATCATACGCGCTTGACTTGTTCAAAACTTTAGTGAAATACGAAATAAACAGTGCAAGTGAATGCAGATGACTGAACATGAAAGATGTATTGTTGGAAAATCTTTAGAACACTATGTATTATCTGACTAGATGTTATATATAAACAAAGTTGAATTTTCATTGAGATGGATAATATAGTTATGCTCGTGTAAATGTACACATGGTACTTGAAAAAGGGTAAAAGTGGGTCAAGTTTAAGAAATACATTCTTACTATCGATGTATCCCGTTAACGATCGTTCATGTGTATTCACAACCCCTTGTGAATGCCAATATATAAAAGGCAAAAGGAGAAAGGCGACATTGGAACAGTCGCCAAAAATTCTTCAAGGTTACAGAAAGAGTTAGAATACCCAGTAGATGTGTACTTTAAAGATAAAAAAACATGAGAAATAAAATTTAAAAGAATTCCCACAGATATAAATTCATTTTTATTTTTTAAATTATTTAAAAAAAAAAAAAAAAAGATATCTGGAAAATTTATAACAATTTATTTTATCCAATGAATTAAACTAATATTTGTTTAGAGTAAAATAAAAAATAGAGCATTGAATTAAATTGACAATGGAAGTGAGATAAATAATAAAATTCTACCTTTCAACATAATTGACATTTACCAACGCATTTGACTTTTAATTTTTTTTTTAAAGAAAGAAGCACCACGAAAATATAAAAGGGGCAGAGAAGATAAGAGGAAATAAAAAGGAAGATATATTGAAAAAGTTTTTACATCAGACTGCAGATAAAAACACACGTGTTGCAAAAATCTGGAATTTTCTACATTTTCTGCATGACAGTACGATGGAAAATGTTTTAAGAAGAAATCTAACATTTTAATCATTATCATCACATGTCTCTAGACAAGAAAAAAAATTTGCAGTTCAGTTTTTCATTTGTTGAGTTATATTAATTATTCTAGTTCGTTTATTACGTAATATGTTTTTATTTCATGAATAATTCAATTGCATAAACCGATTTGCTAGTTTTTATTCCTCTAAGTTTGATACCACTAAATCATTGGAAATGTAATATTACATCTGTTGAAAAAAAGAAAATTGTAACAAAGTGTCAAATCGTGATAGAAATATTTGAATTCTTAAGATTTCTTGTGGATAATTGTAATAAATCAAATGTACACGGAAATAAAATGTTGTTTGTTGTTATTAGTAATATATTGATGATCTTACACCCTTTTATAGTTGGGAATAAATTATTCATTTACTTCCTAGGTATATTATATTATTGAAAAGAATGACTTTCCATTGGGGTTTAGTGTCTGATGTGATTCATTATTTACAGATTTTCTGATAAAATATTTAAGCAATAATGTCAATTCCTCTTAATTATGATTTCAAAATTATATTATGGAGAAACAACAATGTAATAATGAATTTATTAAACCAGGGGATATTTATTAAATTACAATTAATTTTGAATTTTTCACGATGATTAGATATAAATAGTTGGAGAGATGAATAAATTAAGAGCTAAATCAATTTCAAAATAGGATCTATTTTTTTTGATTAGCTTCTGATGACTCAATTGTCAATCAAATGATTCAGTAAGAAGAAATAGGTAGTCACTATGCTATTAGTTGGTATTTTAGAAACAAATACTGTAGTGATATAAAAGAGTAACTTAGTTTAAGATAGGTA